CCCCCCCCCCTCTCCTTCAATCGGCGAAGCGAAAAAACACAAGCGCCCCCAAAGTTAAAGAAGTCAATAAAAATGAGAAACACTCATAATTCGAGGTCAGACATTAGCACTCTGTGTAATCCGATACTGCCGTTCGCCACCGCGTCCTATGTTCATATTATTCCGCAAAACAAGTTCTCGCGTTACCCCAAACTTCATCAGTGACGTATTAATTAAGGAACGCGAATTATTTCAAACAAGAAAATCATTGAATGCGCGATGACACACGTTTGCGATGATTTCTCATTAGTTTGCACTCATCACTGAGTGGCGATGGCTTTATAAATATCATTGATCAAGTAATTCACCTGTCGTATCGTTATGTGTCACTGGTGGGATTATTCACTCGTTTCTTCGTTTTGTCGTCTGCAAAATGCGGGAATAAAAATAAATGAGTGGTGAAACTGAGAGCAAAGCGGAGATGTTTGAGGCGCATGGGGAGGAAAAAAATAAAGGAGATGTGGGGTGGGTAAAAAAGAGGGTGAGGAGGGCCGGGGGGCGAGGGGGAGAGGATGGGGAAGGGAGATATAGAGCGACTGAGGGGGGGACCATTAGCGCTGAAGAGGAACACCGGCGTCTATCTCGGTGACGACGTCGCCGGGTACAGACGACGACGACGACGACGACGATGACGTCCAAGTGGTAGATGTGTGTGTGTATGTAGCGGGGCAGCACGTTTGTTCCTTTCAAGGGGGGGCCCACTGGGCTTATCCCTTCCACGAACCGGTTGGCTTCTACTTCGAGTTGCATGGTTTAACCACGGAAGCTGGCCTCGACGAGCAATGTCGCCCAGTCTTACCGCAACCATCTAGCTGGTATAACCCACATATACCGCCCCATTCTCACAATTTAATGTCATATATCGTTTTTAAATTTAGACATTAAGTATTTTTATTATTATGTGTTTATTATTCATCGTTTGAATATTCAATTTTACCGGGTTTATGGAGTATAAAAAGAGGATTTCCAAACAGCGAGGTAATGATTGATAACAAAGAGCTATTCATTTATCATTATGAGTAGAGATAATGGTTTTTTTTAAACTCAAAATACCGGAATTTTGTCGTGAATTTTTTTGTTATTTTTATCGAGTTGCTGCTGCATGAAAAATAATTGAGTGAGGAGGAATTATTTTGACAAAAGTGGTGGGAGTTTGTCAGTTGTTGAACATATGGCGAAATGACAGCCACACGAGTGTCTGTGACGCACAGAACCCCCGGTCCCCTGCTATCGGAGCAAATACTGAAAAAAAAGAGAAGAAAAAATCCAAACATAAGCCCAAACGCATTAGACTACGTACACACTCACCTATAGGCACACATAGCGATACCGTACTGCGGGAGTTCCGAGGAGATACATGCGTGATTACGATTATAGGTTTTGCGGTGGTTTGTCGTGAGTACGAAAACGTGGAATTTTAATCGGAAGTTATTACTCTCGTATTTGCTATCAGTCGGAGGACGTCTGGAAACCGGTAAACGGCATGGTACATGGGTCCCAATTTTTGTTTCATATTGTTCTACGTGTTGTCGGGCATAAAACAAGTGCTCCCCCCCCCGGGGCCCCCTCGGATCTTCGCATTCATATTCCGTTCGTTCCGATATTAAAGAAAAAAAAAACCCAGAGATAAGAAGAGTGCAAATATTTTACCATCGTGTACATACACAGCATTAATGTATATGCGTTAGAATGTTGAAATCCTTGAAGTGAAGTTGAAAAGTGAATTGGCCAGGGCACAAATGCGCCCAGTAATTCCCCTCGAATTTCCGTGTGTGAAAGACAATTGTTATAAAGTGCAATTTCACCTCTTGAAACAATGAGTTCTAACAATCTACATACATTGAATGTCTCGTAGGGTTCAGTGACCCAAAAGGAAGGATAGATAGAAATAAAACATATGAGAGTCAATAAAAAAGGTGATTATTTTCCATTTTTATCTCTCTCATTCTGGCCTCGAGGGTACTTCGTCAAGGATGAACGATCAAGTCCATCAACAAACAATGACCGAGGCACTTGCCGAAATAAAATAAGTCGTTGGGATAAAAAAATGTATGTTTACTCAGCTGGAAGCTCCAAAATTGATGATAATGGAACATTCCAACGGGAAAAACAAAACTATTTACACTGATAAGAGAAAAAAGGATAAGGGGGCAGGGGGAGAGGGGGATTTCGCAGAATCGAAGTCTCGTTCCGCGCGATCCAACCGACAAATCGGAAATTGTTGGAATACCTAGACTGATCCGCGACGACCGTGAGACTATGCCGGTGCCGTAGACTCGAGTCATCCGACCACTTTTTGTTTTTTTATACTTTTTCTTGTATCATTCTTTTGCTTATTTTCCCCCCCTCTGATTATTTTTCCTGCATTAAAACCCACAGTGATAGGGCCCGTTAGGTCATCGATTAGTAGCAAAACTAACGTGACATTATGTCTGTGGATAAATCCGAGGTTTCTATTACGATGTAAAAACTATTTTTCAATCAGTTGAAATTGTGAAGATGAATTGTTGTGTGAAAAAGTTCATTCCAGGTAATAGACTCACACGTAACTGTTATTTCTATATTTACTGGATTAGGGAGGGGTCACGACTTTTTCCGGTATCAGACGTATTTGATGAACATTTTTTTGATACTTCTTTTCAATATGTTATTTGAGAAAAAAGTTTAGATGACAGATTTTTCGAGGACGTCGATTATTCATTTGATCGGAACAATTGACTCATTCCAATACGAGGTACATGAAAAAATATGACAAAATGTAAGAAATTATGGTGGCAGTTAGGATTTTACAGCTCGGGAAAAGTCAGAAACGACTTATCGGAAGTATTGGCAGGAGCCGTGATGAAATTAATGCATATTTTTATCACAGAGGACAATCAGAATGTTGATAATTGATTCTTCGAGACTCGAGCGATGGTCGAGTTCAAATGATTACCGAAATTTACACACATGTCATGTTTTTTTTCTTTTTTCCTATTGATAATAGTCATTTTTGAATTTTATCAACCCGCAAAAGCGACTTGCTTCCTGCATTTTCGATAGTTTTAAACAATTATTCTTCCGTAATTGGCACGGCCTTCCGCGAAATCAACCGTATGAAAATAAGAATCACGCAATTGATGATATCAAACTGAATAAATGAATGATGTTATTAATAAATAAAATATAATAAATAGAAATGATGAGTTGTATCTACACTTGAAAAATGATTATTTCAGGGAAAATGTTTGCGTTTTTCCCCCAAACATTTCGAGCACTTGAAAAAAATGGTGTGACCGAACAACAGCTCTCTCCATTTTAATTCTCAACGACGCCCAACAAAAGATTAAAATAGATGCATAAATGATTGAATAAAATTGAATACCATTTGGCGAGGAATGAATATCGAGATGAATAGTTCGCAGTAGATTGATGAGTGAACAAATTTGAATACTCAAATCAACTCAAACATTGTAATTCTCGATTTAAAAAACGGTACCATCTGATCAACCGCAGCATATTAATCTATCCAGTCCCCTCTATTCGAAACAGAGTTATACCCCATGTACCACTTGAACTCATAAATCTGCGAGCTGTCCTTTCCCGATTGCAAAGAATCGGCGCAACAATGTACATTGATTTCCCTATTTAATTTCATCGCAGAAATATCAGATTGTCTCGGTATCATGCATGTGGCCCGCACCACCCGACATGTCCAATCGTTTACTTGAATCTTTTCAATCGAAAAATCACCAGCATTATTATTCCCGCATAATTCAATGCACTCGTACAAAATGAAACGAAATGTTTCATAAATTTCGAAATACACCCTCCTGCCGGATGATTGCACTGGCCTGATAAACTTGTAAAAAAAGCCACGATCGGTATATTGTCAAGTACAACTAGATGATAAATACAGACTAACCCGTAGTGTTGACGTTATCGTTGTAAAAAACTGCTGAACGCTTTTGACCAGAATACTACACGACAGCAGAGAGAAGCGAAGGAGAGAACCCCAAAGAGTAGTTTTACTGCTGAATAATTTTTTCCCCCAACAAATCGTGATAAAAGCATTCGCCTATGCCCACTAACTTGCCCCAGTGTATGATAGCGGTAATAATTCAAAGTGAGCAGGATACGTAAACGTTGGATCATGCGCATGACTCTTAGATCTCCCTTTTTTCACCGAGAAAAACGTCTCTATTTCCTTGTACTATTGATTGGCTCTCAATATGTGCTCGAGTTATGAAGAGATATTTCCGGGATTGAAGAATACCGCTAATTGAATACCACGATATCACAAATGATGCCTCTAATTGTCATCCTGATAAGCAGTAAATCATGGTATAAACACTGGGCAGACGATAAACCGAGTTTACCTGTGTTAAGAATTCGTATTGCAAACAGGGAAAAATTGTATTTTATCATTTTGCGATCATAACAATGTACATTGTTATCCTTCTAATGGATTTTAATGGATATTCACTGTACCAGCATTACTCAGCAACAACGAAATACCGCAAAACTGATTGGAGATTGTGGAAAATACATGCTCACACCTATGTATCTCGTCTCGTCATAAACTGACATTTGTTTCATTACTTATACAGTGTGTACCGGGATGTCGGGGTGTTTTTTTTTGCTTGTTCTGAAATAAAACTCACAATATTCTTTTCTGTCTCCTGAAAAACAGGCGCGGTAAATGGTAGGATGGACAACTGTGGAGGCGGTCAACGCCTGCCCCCGGATGGGGACGAGTTTCCAGCGGCTTACCAAGAGTTCAGCGCCTCTGTACAGCAGTACCAATACGTTGTAACACCGCGTACCACCACAATGACAACGAATGGTACAATAAATGATACAGAAAAATACGAAACATCTAAACCATCGCAAGTAACTGAGACCCGTATAACATCGCAGTACATAGTAACGAGTAAGCCAGATATATCCTTAAAACAAACAGACACATTGAACAACGTAAATTCCCACCTGGAAGATAGCAAGAGAAATCCCGTGACATTTACGAATACATATACGAGGGATAATAAGCAACAGTGTGTACAGGGAGTCGTGCTGACAGAAAAGAAAATCGAGATTGCTGGATATTATCCGAAAGAATCAAAGATCGATAATGAAACGAGTGGTAAAGATAATCTGGACAGTCCTCCACCGTTGCCACTAACAGGACCACCTAGGTACGAGAAAGCACTGGTACATGGTAGAATTGCAAACGAGACGTGTGTTAATTCGCGTAAATTTTCATTGAACGGTGATCTGAGGCGTCAGGACGATAAATCTGAGAAATCAGTGAGAGATAAAATAGCAATGTTCTCCAAGGGCAGTATAGAATCACCCCTATTTCCAAATAATCCGGTGACTAACGTCACTGTCACATCGAGACGATTATCAAAGTATAAATCATCGGAGGATTTCTTTGTTGATGATGATAATAAGTGCAGCACGATGCAGAACGATCGTTGCTACAGCTCTTGTGATCTCACGGATTCTGGTAAAAGTCATTCTGACGTATTGACGAGCGGTGGGGGAACAGAGAGGCCGCCTTGTCTGCCAAGATCATCACCACCGGAGGAATCAGTCAGCCGTGTCACGACACTTTTCACTAAGACATCAACGAGTCTAATGGCCACACAAAAATCTGGATTATTGACTTCATCGGCGAGTTTAACTGACGTTAAATCTGTCATTAATCCGGCGAATATGAATGGCGCTGGTGTATTGTTGCAGGAGGTAAAGAATATGCCGGTATTAACGAGGGCAACTAGCTTCTCCGGCGGAATTTCTTACGGTGAATTACCGCCTGCCAATGGACAAGTATCCAGGGCTAATTCGCTTGCATCGACATTCCGTCGTACTGAGGATATGAGGAGAACCAGTTTGAATCAATTGATCGAACAGAGAAGGAAAGGTATTTCAAAGTTGAGGGGACTTGTTATACCCGAGAAGGACGCTGTCCCTGTGGATCAGCCGATAATCGATCTTCCAGAAATTAAATCGAGGGATTCTATTCTAGTGCAACAGGTAAACGCTTTAATTGTCACTTCTTTCGCTTAAATTCTTGGCGTGATTGCAATTCTTGTGATTCTTTCTTTGTGGATGATTTATGTGATTGGTTGAGCGGCTAAAAAATTCAGCTGTAAATCTTGCTACAATCGCGGGAAAAATTCACCTCAAACTTCTCTTACGAATTACCTCAATCATTTTTTTTCGCAATTGATGGGATACTTTCTAATGAAAGCAATTGTGGTGGAGATAAAGGTTTCCACATGTTCATGAATGATTTCCTCATAAAGTTGGAAAATACATGAGGCGGAATAGTCATCCTATGAATTTACATGGATTTTAATGTTCTCTATTTATTATCCAGTCAGCTCAATTTAAAGACTGACTAAAATTGTTCATTCATAACTTTAAGGATGTCCAAGCACTTTGGAATTTTTTTTTTCCAGGGAAATGCGTTTCTACTTTTGTAGTCGAACATCAGAGCTTTCATTTGAGCCCCATTTGACCGGTTATTTTACCCGGTTATTTTACAATTAATTTATTATTTAAACTTTGAGAGTCTGCGTTTGAATCTCGGTATTGAATCGTTGGAAAACATTTTAAAAGTTGCAATTTTTGAAAATTGCGAGTCTTTTCTATCAATAATTTACAAACAATCATTTGTTCGGAATCGCAATAAATTTATTAATATTCAAAATTTTACCAGAAATCTATTTCATGCCTAAAAAATTAGGTTTCCGAAAGTTTAAACAATTTCAATTATTTCTTTATAAACACCAAATGTTGAAAAAAATCATAATTCTAGCAAGATCTACTCAGTAATAATTTTTTCCCATTATTTTCAATTGCAGAAGGCGAGTCTAATAGACAAATGGGGTTCACAGGGCTCGCTAGCAAGCAATACAAGTACCCAAAGTATGCCAATAAAAACGACAACGTTTAAAATGCCAGCGCCGCAAATCCTTCCAAAATATTCACCAGCCTTTAAACGCAAAAGTCTAACAGTTTATGGCTCATCAAATGTCACATCACCCTCAAGCCAACAGACTAGTCCAGCCTCCACAGTGACGCCCACTGAGCCCCCCAAGAGTTTAGAAAGTATCTGCAGTCCAACGCGAAGTGACTACAGCTTTGAATTTGTATCATCCAGTGTATCACCCGAGAATATACGTAATCGTCCGAGAATTGGACAGAGAAAGACGCGTGGTGATTACGATGACTCGGACAATGATTCAGCAGTTAGTAGTTCTCAGAGTAGTATATCGAGGGGTTTCAGTCCGCCAACATCGCCAGTACCATCTGATCGTTCAAATCTGTCATCCGACAGATCTTATCCAATGATAATGGATTCGAAAAATTACTTAACAACTGACAGAGAGTATTCCAAAACTGAGGGCTACACGGCCGAACGAAATTACTTGAGTTCCAATGGTTCGTCGAGTGGTAGCAGCAGTGGTAGTAACTCGAGTCACTGTGATCCAAGGTCACCACCACCTGAGCACAACATGAGATTCACTGGAATTCCACAACGACAGATGCTTAAACGCTCGAGCAGCACTGAGACAAACTGCAGTACATCGTCAACTCTGACCTCAGGCTCCCAGGCCAGCGCTGAGTCGTTGTCTAGACGTGTACTCAAGCCCCAGAGTGTCGAAGCCATCAATCGAAAGAACATTCTTGCCAGCGCTAGGTGCAGAAGTGGCAGAGATCTCAACGGTTCTCCCCTCATTCAGCGTAAATTCTCGGATGACGAGGACATTGCGATTAATCAACGCAATGGTAATTACGAGAAAATAACAAATGGCAATTGTAACATTGAGCCAACACAGCAGAGCGTCAAGATAGCGTATGTCGAGGTGATCGAGGATTTCGTGTGCAAGGACGAACCGAAGATGGTCGAGTCCCCCAAGTATCTTCCAAAGAGGACCACCTCAGTGCCAGCCCTGAGAGCACCCCCTAGGCCCGACATTATGCAGCCCTCTAACGACCTGAAGAACTGGGTGCGAACGGAAGTGGAGGCCTTATTAATAGAAGACAGCAATCGTCTCGAAAAGTCCCAGGTGCCACAGACGAGAATCCCCCGTACTCGATCGTCATTAACCCTCGACGAGGCAAACTCGACGGCCCTCTTGGGACCCAAAAGAATGCCCTCGGTCGAGCGGATCGATAACTCCTGCAACAAGTCCGTGGACTCGCGTAACGACGATCTCCTAACAACGTTAACAACAAAAAGCAGATCACGAGCGCCAATTAATTTCGAGGACGGTGCTGTACTGCGCTCAAAGAGCCAGATGAGTCTTGAGGACATTCTGGCGGGTAAGACGGAGCCCAAGCGTGCGGAAGCCCAGCTCATTCACTCGGTATCGCACGGAAGATTGTCACTGGACTCCAGAGACACTAAATCACTCGTAAAACCGAGTTTACTGGAGCCGGAAGACAAAGCATTTGTATCGAAAATACCCACTTATGGGAGAATGAAGGCAGATGTTGTTGACGAGTCCGGTAGACTCAGTGACAGGTCAAGAACCTCGAAGATACCGATGCAGAGGAGTTTGGGACGGAGGAGTGCCAGTGTCACTGACATGAAGAAGGCCCTGGAGAAGCCCGACTATTCTACCAATCACCATTCTCAGCACGGGGCACAGGGGAACCACCACAGGTGTCCAAGTTTGGACAGCAGTGTCGAGGAGAGTATTCGCTCGGTTGGGGTGGAAAATGATGCCGAACGATTTTATGGGGAACAGTTTGGCAGTATAAGTTCATTGGCCAGTAGTACCAGTTTGATATCCCAGCAGGAGCTCGCTTTGCTTGTTGAGGAGGCGAGCCTCGAGGAGGCCAGGGGGTCGCATGAGGTCATTGTGGTTCTCCTGCACAAGGAGAATCCCAGTGGCAGTGTGGGCATCACTCTGGCTGGGGGGATTGACTGTGAGGCTAAGGAGATCACTGTTCATCGAGTTTTGGCTCACTCTATCGCTGATAAGGACGGGAGGGTGCAGAGGGGGGACAGGATACTCAGCATCAATGGGAGGAGTACGAGGGGGCTCAGTCACAGGGAGAGTCTGGCGGTTCTCAAGCAACCGAGGTCGGAGGTCGTTCTTGTCGTGTCCAGGGCCAGGGCGGAGGAGGGAGGCAAGCTCAGGACGAGAACTGAGTCCGTGGAAACTATCGTTGAAGGTATGTTGTTGGAAATAATTGAACTTTCGGGGGTGAGTAATTTTAAGTTGAGTGACAGGGAAGTCCAGCCAGCGGGGAACAATCTTGGCATTTCAATGAAATTACCAATTTGTGAGACAAGCGTTCTCCATTTTACTTTAATTTTTCATTGAATCGTGAGTATTCAGTACTCATTTCTAGTAAATAATATACTTAATTGAATTTGTTGGATTTCTATTAATTTTCGGGGAATAATTGAACTGAAATTTACAGATTGCATTGATTTTTCGACAAAGTTTTGAATTTTCCGCGAGAAAAACAAATATTTTCTCAAACCAGTCGTGTTTGAACCGAGAAAATCGCAAATTAAAAAATACTGATAGCAAAATAAAATCTATTGTTCACCATTTGTCGCAAAAATAGATTTAATTGGTCCAAGAAATGATTACTCTCTGTGCAAGCAAGAAATGTCATTTCAAGTACATATATTCTTTGTTATTCAATTCTGTCAGGTATTTTGCTCCCGAAAAATGTTTGTTTTATGCGGAATAAAGAACAGTAGGTTTTCGTTACGGTTATTCAATAATCACGTATAATAAATTCGTGAATAATATAATAATGATGATAGGATAGTAATCTTTTAACCGTAGTCTGGTCACCAAACGCGACCGGGCATCTCTGGTCACCTCCGCGGGGATTCCCCGCCGTGTTATTTAGGCTTTAGCGTTGCCGAATTCGCTCTTCACTGCCCGGACGCGTTTAGCGAATTTCCGGCAACGTCGCGTCATGGGCAATTTCATTTAACCTGGGAAGAAATAATTCATCTGTTTGAAATTAATTGTTTTCTTTAGGAATTTTGGGAAATATGTTGTTCTAAAAACTACTATAATTTTTTAGACACTTCACGTGACAAAGTTAAATTTTTTTGAATTTTTCCGGTCAGTGAATTGTAATTAAAGAAAAAGGACGCGCGCCGGAGTTTCTCTCATAGGGTGATCTAGGGTTAATTGAGGGACAAAATATTTTTTGATAAACTTCCCTTTATGAGGAATATTGCCATCCTGGAAAGGCGCAGTCTCGTGTGAATTAAATATTCAGTTGCTGTTGAACGCAGAGCGATTATTCATGTTTGAAACTTTTAAATTCAAATCAAACAACTTTTTCTTTGGTTTTTTGTAATTTGCGATTTTTTGAGCCAACAAGAATTGCGTGAGAACCTGTTTGTTTTTCTCTCGGTGCATAATGTGTTAAAAATTTGCAAGAAGTGCACAGGAAATTTCAGCTAAAAATTTTTCAACAGTGTATTTCAGTAGTAATCTTCGGGATATAAAATTTAATTAAAGCTTCTGCTATTTCCGTTTTTGTTAATTAGCTTAAGTGGAGTTTTTGGTTCGGGCTTGGAAGTTTTTATGGGCAGTTCCCAGGGAAATTGTACGCTGAAATGATGCATGATAATGATATGCATGTTCGAGTTGTTGGATTTACAGTGAAGACAATTGTTAGTATTGATTTTGTATGTGATTAAAATTAATGGAGACGAAAAGTCATCATGATGTGAATTCATACACTCGACTTTTATTAGCTTTTTGTGTGCGCTGGGAGAGATAAAAATATAATTGTTAGGAACAGGGAAATTAGTGTTTTGTGTTAAGTTCTTCTTAGATTTATTCAACTCGTTGCTATCGGATATGTAACTACATTCTCCTGGGTATTTTTTTTATACCCTCAATAACATTGATGATATTCAATCTGATTGCAAGTTACGTTCCGCTTTCTTATATCCATAAAACTGATATTTTCGTAATAAATGTAATGAAGTCGTATATTATCACTCTAAATAGCGGAAAATAAGCCTTGAAACGGTATGCGACATTAGGTTTTTATTTATGTATCGTTGGAGGTATGAGTGTTTTAGAATAAATTGCGGTGCTCCATACTTGGTGCATTAGTGAACTTCTATTTTTAACTTTTACTAGTTTCAATTAAGGCGATTCGCACTGAATTCCTTGCTCCAATATCTGGAGGAATCTAAATGCTTCGGAGAATACTGATTTTTTCAATTGGAAGGAAGAATTTGAGAAAAGGTTTATACAAGTGACCGGAGAAAGACGGGAACTTTAACGGAAAATTTATACAGTTGATGCGGTGTTTATTTTTTACGATGAAAGATACACTGTTAGAAATTTACTGGAATTTTATTGGCAATTATATGCAAATTTTGTATGCATTTATTCAAAATTGGATTCGAGAAGAAATTGTTCATTGAGATAATCTAGCTTTTCCATATTTGTAGAATATGGAGATGCGTACTTGAATTGTAAATTCTTGAGGAAAATTGAACGCTGCATCGACTTGACATTTGAAGGATTTCAAAATTTTAAGATGAAATTTGAATTCTATAAAAGCCCTAAAATTTAGAAATCATTAAACATCAGACATTTCTAGAAAAATCTCATGAATTCCCTGAAATTTTATTCCGAATTCATGAAGATATTTACAAAAGTTCCAAATCGCCAGAGATTTACTCACCATTCCAGTATTTTTTCATCCATATTATGACAATAATTGTGGCTATTCCTCTTATTCAGTCGCCATCCCTCACTGGCTTAAAAAATTTCAATTTCTCAGAAACCTTTCCGAAATCTTGAAATCTTAAACATCAGTTTCAAGATCTGAAAAAATTTCTGAGAAGCTATGGAATTTTATTAAATTTCTCTTATTTTTTTATGATTTGACTGTTAAATATTTCTACAATTTCCCTCGAAATCCGGAATTAATTTATCGATCAGTATAATAACCACTCGAAAAATCCATCTAAGCAGTAATTAATTTCTGCAGGGTTCGAAACTAATGGCATCGAAGACACTGCGTGGGGTCCCCCAACTCGCGTGGCCATTTTTAAAGACGGTGCTGGTCTTGGCTTCAGCCTGGAGGGTGGCAGGGACAGTCCACTGGGTGATCGAGCCCTCGTCATAAAGAAAATATTCACTGGTACGTTCCCATCATTCCCCCCCCCCTCCCCTTCCGCCTAATTCTCAAAATAGCAATATAATAATCCATGATTCAACTCATTGAACAGGTGGTGCTGCTGAGAAAACAGGTGCCTTAACTGCCGGCGACCAATTGCTAGAGGTCAACGGTACTGACGTGACTCGTCTGTCGAGAATCGAAGCGTGGTCCTTGATGAAGAAACTACAGGATGGAGAAGTTAATCTCCTAGTCAGGCACCCAGCCACCAAGTCATCGTGAATGTTCAAACTGTTTAGTCACATTGAGGGGGAAGAAGTCGCAGAACAACGATTAAATATTCGATTATAATTAACTAATAAATCGTAAAAGCTGCTGCATAGCTTTAAAAATAGAATAAAATGAATGTAAATACTGAAAACGTAAATCATTAGTTTACGTTGGCCGTGAGAAGTCCATTGCATTTAGACTAGAGCATCCTTGCCTTACGTATTAAAACGAAAAAAAAGTAATATAAATTATTTGAATTTTCCTCGGACTGCTCATCGAAGGAAAAGAATTGCATGATGAGAACATTTATTATTTTCATGGAGGGGAAGCGATTATTGTTAATTGTGGGCCAATTAGGCACACATGCTTGAGCCATACGATCCTGCATAGGACTTAATAATTTTTCTCCTTATTTTTAATGGTAATTCAATCTATGAATTGTAACAGTGCTGGCAGTGCAATAATTATGGTCAGGATACGGCATTAAAGCTTCTAGTTTCAGTCAGAATTATTTAGCCTAATATTTAAAAAACAAGAAACATGCCGCCATTGCCTTATAAACTTAATTAATTAATTCTTAATCGTTCATGAAGAAAATTGTGAGAAAGGAATTGTAAATATAATAATTGTATTTTGGAATTGGCTGAAGCACGAGGGGTTTAGTGGAAGATCAAGCGCAATTGACGGAAAATATCGACTTAGATAATATAAAAAATGTTGCTAATTTAAGGAAAAGTCTATTTTATTGGAGTATTTAAATTTAAATTGTAAACTTGAGAAAATGCGTTTGTTGATTATCGTGCTGTGATATGTGGGGGATCGGCATATGAGACTAACTAATTAGTATTTGTAAAGTGGTGTAAACTTCACTGCGAATGATTTTTTTCTTCGTTCAATTGTTTTTTTCTATTAGTCAATATGCATTTACTTATTCAAGCGCTGTTAATGTATCGCTTAATTTTCTGTCTCTAAATGTTTTGTATCTGTATTTTCTTCTTTTCATTCGTAAACAAAACGTATGTTGATGATGTTTAAATAAATGATCCACGGTTATTTGGATTTTTTAACTAACGTATAACGTAGCTTTATTATCTATTGCGATACAAATAAAATTTCGGTAAACAGGGGGATGGTTTTAGGTTTAGTACCAGTAGGTTTTGCGAGCTACTCGATCCTCTTTGATTCCCATCTTATCCATTATATCCATCTCGAATGTTTTGAGTTCAGCCTGTAACAATTTTATAACAATTACATGATTTTTTTGTAATTATTAATCAAGGGCGAAAATTGAGTTGAATGGATTGTTGACAGGGGAATTATACCTTGAAGGTAATTTTTTCAATTACGTCTCTGGGCGTGTCCTTAGGCTGCTCTTTGTAAAGATGTGGGAGTTTATAGTCCATCGTTTCCTTCGCTGTCATTGGAATCGGAATTATCCTCCCTGTTCTTGTTGAGACTCGAACTTTCTCACCATCTTCTGTCCATCTCCATTCTATTTTACAAGCTTTCCTGTGTCCGGTAAATCAAAAATAACAAAATGCATACATGAAAGAATGAAGACAAGGGTTACATACTCAATGAATGTATGAATTTCCTAGTATTTCCTGGATATGATTGGAGTGTGTTCCTTGTAAATATGAGTAATGTTTATAGTTTCATGTGGACCGCTCTTACAATTTAATTTACTTGCGTTAAAAACGCTGAGAAAAACTCATAGATGATGCACAATTCAATTTACATTTTGCAAAAAAACTATTTTCAAACATTTTCTGCTTATAAATGGACAATAGTTGTTACACTATAAACCTTGACTCTTGGCATGAAGCAGATTTTTAGTAGAATTTCAACAATGCTCACGTTTGTTGCGATTTCGTAAGGATTTTTAGATTGAAAAACTAATTAATTTTTAATTCCTCGCGAAAAAGATCGTGATCTTCAAACATCGCCAGTTTTAAATCATCTCATGAGTCTTCGTTTCAAAATAGAGAATGAAATCCAGATCTTCAAAGTTTGACTTAAAAACTTATTAAAAAAAGGATCTTGAACGATGCTTCATATCTTTTTTCGAAACAATTTTGGGAACCCCTAAACAGATCCTCTGGCATTTTGATCTAAACTTGCTAGATCCAGAGGTACTTGGAGAAATGATCTGTATGAATTTTCTGAATTTCAATAATTAAAATACAGAATTGAGAATTCTGGGATAAACTGGAATTATTCTCATGTGATAAATTGAATGGCCAACTCACAAATCAGCTGGATCAACCAAAGCAATATCAGTGGTGACAAGAAGCGGTTGTTCCTCCAAGACGACAATGCCAGGAAAATCCTTCTTTTTTCCCATAGTCTTCATCTTCGTATTTAAACCCTCGACAATGACCCAATTCCTCTCCTGAATGATTTGTTGGACTAATCCTTGCTTTCCCTTGTCACGTCCCACCAATATTTCGACCTAATGGAGAAGGATAAAATGTTGAAATCGATTATACGTTTTATCAGATAGAATAATTTGACTTCTTACTCTGTCCCCTCTGAAGTAGCTCCACTCCTTGATGGGCTCCACTAAAACCGGTGAAAGTTTCTTCCCTGGGAAATTCTCTAAGTAAAATTCGCGAGTCCATGGCCGATGCTTTCCGAACTTGAACACCTCCCTTTGAACTACTGTAGGGAGGAACCTAGGGTCTCCCTTGGGGCTTTTCCAATAGACCTTGGGAAAGTCGAGATATTAGAATTTTTCACTGCTCTCGTGAGGTTATCCACTGGGTCTAGGCACAGAACTAACAACAATACCTGCTCCATTTTACGTCTTATAAAGCGCTCCGGCAAATTTGCGAAATGCTTGGACCAATAGCCCAATTCGGGGAACTTGAACCTCGGGTATCTCATGATTATTTAGTTGATGTGACGAATAATTCAATGATACACTTGTCATACGTAAATAGACCACTCCATAACCCCCAAGAAACCGAGTGTCTCACGTGCTTCATCGCACATGCGCCGGGTTTTAAAGAGTTCTATTTTATCGATGATTTCAAAATTTCATATTTTGTGAGTTCTGAAATAGTACATTATGTCGCAAGTCAGAAATCAGAGTATTATTTTATGAGCCGGAATACTCATGGCAGGAAGTAATTACAGTGTGTGTTTACATTACCTGAATTTATTAATTTACTTTTATAAATCATTGGATTTACTGTTCTATCCAATTTATGTCATCGCATAATGACGATACTTCTAATGAGACTTGTGCAAGAATTCATTTTTATCGAGTTACTATGCGAAGAGGTGGCTAGTTAAATTCGAATACACTCACTCACAGATAAACAAAAGTTTTGATTTTCAGAAACGTGTCACTAATTTTTAGTGGTATTATCACTAATTTCCAGAAATATCACGGATTTTCAGTAAATGTAATGTCACTAAAAATCAGTGACATCAATTTACTGATAGCAAAAAAGGATAAACAAACTCCTGAGTAAAAAATCTCCAGCTGCATTCTCATTATGACATGTTCGTTGTCATTTGCTTTGGAAAGCAAAACTCTGTGTCTTAGGCGCGTGGATTAATTCTGAGGGTTTCTATGCGTAATCTTACGTAAAATACCCTCAGAATTGATTCACTCTCCAAATATAAAAAAACAACATGGGGGTTCTATCGAATAAAGAATCTTACTCTATCCAATTTGAGATGTCCGTTTCTCCGGAAATTCGCAGAAGGTTCTAAACAGTTCAAAACAGGTCCGAAATGGTGTAGAATCCTAAAACATTTGCGAATCGTCTGGAAATTCTGCAATTTTCCAATGCAAAATGTTTCAGAAGACTTTGGAAGTTTAGTTGGGAAGAGGACAAAACAAAAAAACAACTATTAACTAGTTATTTGTCTTCTTTGGGTTCAATCAGACAAATTATGAAAAAGTCCCGACTATACTGCAGTTTTCTGCGAGGGAATGTTTAGGTACATTAATTTCACCGCAATTTCATCGTAAAATTACCGTAAAAAATTACAAACTTCTCGATTGTTTTGAGAGTTTACCGACGAGACCTTTTTATCATCGATGCACTCTTTAGGTGCTACAACAACATTTCAGAACATCCTAGAATTTTCTAGCCTTTATCATCTCAATGTCAATTTCATGGAGATCACATAGAGAAAATTGGACCGCCGTAAGGTGGGCCACCAGACCTACTAGTTGTATAATAATTCTGGGGATTAGATTATAAAACATACACATCCGGAATTAATCGGTGACTAACATTAATATCAATTTATATGAAACTGCAATGGAATGAAATTACTGGGGAGGATCTGGAATGCATTTTGTATATAGTCAACCAAACGCACGTCTTCGATGTCGTATCATATGACACACGATTCGAGGCACAGTGGTGTCTGTTATCTGAAACTTTCGTCATCGCCCGATGGAAAATACATCTATGGTTTGACCACCGGGATTGGGAACCAAAGGCGATCATATGCACAATATACGATAACGTCAAACACAATACGAATAGGAGATCGAAGTGAAGCGTATCAACTGTCTCGAGAAATCAAAAAGTTCCGTTGGATTGCGTAATGTGTTGATTCGATTCCACATTGCATTAATTTAATTTTCCAACTTTTCATTTCAATTTTCACACAATTTTGGGCGATTTCCTAATGCTGGAGTTGAACTGGTATCTGTGACAATTTATCGCGTGAGAAAGCCTTGAACGAAAGGTTTTTTATTTAATTCTCTTCGTTTTCTTTCTCCTGCGCTCCGCATTTTCGAATCAAGATCTGCGCACTGAGAAAAAAAATATAATTTTGTCAATCAAATTTGTTTGAGGTAAGAAATTACAGGGAGATTTTGTGTGAAAAGAACGGGCATTTGTTTGTCTGAAATAAAATTGATTTGCAGAATGATATTTTTTCCTCAGTGTGGATGGATTGTTTTGGAACTATCTTCGGAGTGACGAGATAAGAAGCAAGGTTTACGAGAATGCAGAAGAATATGCAGAAGGCATTCTGATGAATCTTCCTAAATCTGTCCACTCCGTCAATATTTGCAGCAAAATATCTGCAAGAAGAAAATAGCTTCATTTTTATTTTCTATTCATTTCTTACTAGAATAAAAATTTGACAATGAAATAAAATGGGAATAAAACAACCGTGAATGAATGCGGAACAGAACGGCTCAACCCAACATAAACAAACAATTGTAGAAACTCAATTGCTCTCAATTTCAAGCTCGCGTCTTTCCTTTGGATAAACAGTTATGAATGACTGAGGATTGATGGTAGACAGAACGACCTAAACAAAAAAAAGAAGAAAAAGTATATTGAATTCTTTCATTTTCCATCTCACAATCTTACTTCCCTCTCTTCCTCCTATTCCGGCCGGTTTTAAGCGCTGTAAAAATGGACTGTGACACTGGTCGTTTTATAAATTCTCTGAAACTCCTCCACTCCTACGACGTTCACCAAATGAAAAAATTGACTAAAATCTCATATTATTTTATTAGGAACGGGACCGTGGACAGTCTGCCCTGGACCGTAAGCAAGAGCACTCTTCCGACTGAAATATAATTATTCAAATACTAGATTGTTTGCATTTTTAATGACGACTCCGTAAAGAAGGCGATCCTACAATATATGGACAAATATCCACCCTTTGAAAAGTTATTTGGGGAGTGAATTTATTGAGTTTATACCCTTTCATTAAAATAATTCCTACACTTCATTAAAAAATGCCCAATGAAAAAGAAAAGTTGAATATTCATATGTCAAATTTCCCAATCATTGAATACCCAAATTCGTACTGTCCAGAAATTCGTCTCTTTAAACCGCTCATTCATGTCAAGATCATGTGGCACCTTGCGTAACCCAACTGGGGGACCAATTTCCGAGGAATACTTCCCCTGCAGTCCCGCGTACGGCCCAATACGGAGATCGCGCGGTACTCCCCTCCAAAATAAAACACAGGAAACCCCGTAGTCCCAGAAAAGACGTAAATACTAAATACGCAATAAAAATTTCAAGGGAAATTTTTTATTGCCGAACCAGCGTAGAAAAACGAAAGAACAAACCATTGGTCGAGTGTTTTGGTTAAACCCCCAAATGTAAACATTGGGCATTCGTCGAAATGAACGAGGGCCTCTCTTTCATCAATTTCCAGCCGTATGAATGCCTCCAATGTGCCCTGGTCGGTGTCAACTATACCCTTTATCGCATTTCCGGGCGTTATTATGTCTAACTCCAAGTCACCTACGGTGTAAATAAATACCCCATATCTGAGCACGTCATCGGGGCACTTGAGAGCTGGAAGCATTGGGTGTCTCAGTTGGACGCCTCGGTGGTTACGGTCTTTCAGTTCCTGTCAAGATCGACACGTGAAAAGAGTACCCCGGGATACCTAGTGCAGGACACGCGAGTGATGGAGTCGCCCATTCGGTTCAATGATTTTTTGGGTTGCACTATCGGTAAACAGAGTGTAAGACCTTGCAATTGAATTGGTATTATGCTTGTTTGCTAATAATGCAGCTTGGAATTATCAGCGCGCTGGTGTGAAAGGGGTGAACTCCTAGGGGTACCCATATTCTAGCATAATACCTTGTTTTTAAAACGGCATTATGCTAAATTATGCGGTATCACGGGGGGGTTTCTATCAGCAATTGAAAGTGACATTTACACAATGAAGGAGAAAAAAACTGACATTTGAGTGGAGATAGTGAGGTATTTATCAACTAACGTGATGATACGCGGGGTTTATCGCACAGTGATTTACCGCATCTCGACGGCAAGGGGATTCATTATTTTGTTTCTCTGATGCGTTCGGGTAATTGAAGAGAAAACGTTTGTTTTTGTAGTTCGCGGATTTTCGGGGGTTTCGGTCACATGAAATCGGCGGAGAAAATCGCGGTGGTTGGGGGAGGAATCGTCGGGGTGACAGCTGCTGTCGCTGTGAAGGAGACTTTCCCGCGGTGGGAGGTGGTAATTTTTAGTGAAAACTTCACTCCTGACACCACCGGAGACGGGAGCGCCGGACTCTGGGGCCCTTTTCTCTGTGGAGTCGAGTCGCAGGATAATATTGTGTAAGATAGAGGGTTTAGTCGATTTTAATTGTGGTTTGTGGGATATGGAAGGGTTGATGGGATTGTGGTCGGTTGGGGGATTTTTTAATTAAATTGAATTGAATTTTGGGGGGAGGGGAGAAGGGGGATTGGGGAATTGGTCGTACGTGAGGGAAAATTGAAGATGGGATTTTTATTTCAACAAGTACCGATGCAATTGTTGACGTTATTTTTTTTCGTTGAATTATCGGGGTGAATTATTCCCGTCGCGAATTCGGAACGCAGAATGTTCAATTGCTGATGTTTTTTTTTTCAATATGCAAAAAGCTGAAAAATGAAATGGAGTGATTATTTTGTTATTTTACCATGTGTTTATTCAACGATACATCAAGTGTTCCGTTATTAATGTTTTTTTACATCCAAAATTTTGAAAAATGGAGTATTGAACTTCATAAGAAAACTTGACCCAAAAAATTTATTGAATGCAAGGAAAATACAATGAAATTTCATTTTGGTTATTGAGATTTCCATTGATAAATTCCAAATGAAAGAGGAATAGTGAACTGTAAAGAACGAAGGAAAAATTTCCCACAAAATCCTGCTTTCGATAACATTATGAAGACAAAACGTAAGCTTCACCCAGAAAGTTTATTATTCATGAAAGAGAGGAAATAATTAATGTTCATTATATTCTCCAGATTAGGTTTCGTGCAACACAATTATGAATAACACATACATACGTCGTCGCGTGGACAATAGGCATTTTCATCTTGAGAGTTACTAGATTTTCGGACACTTTTTTCCACGTCAATTCCCCTACGAGTTTCGAACGTTTCTACAAAATTTACATTGAAATCATAATCTCTGAGGGGTTAAATGTACATCATATTAAATGTCAATATTTATTAGGTTTTTTTCATTATTTTCCCGAAGATTTTTCAGTTCGATGAATCGAAGTTGTATATTCCCTACCTAGGGAGGGAAAATAAAGGAGTCGTACACGTATGAAAAAATCTTATAGAAATTGTCTATACAAAGTATTTCGATACATAAATTTTTACAAAAATTTTTGTTTTCATACGAAAGATATCCAAACAAATTTCTATACATGTGGCAGTGGATCGTATAAGATCAAACCTATAGAAATTGTATAGAAATAATTTGTAATATCATATACGAAAATCCTATAGAAATTCTATACGCAATCCGTATAGAAAATTTTTATACGACTTTTTCGTACGTGTGCCCACGTGCAGCATTCCTCAGCTTCCCTCGGCCTTCGTCTCGGGTGGCGAGAACGAGGGCAAGAGTCCTTTATTTAACCTCCCGTGGTCAGGACGTTATTGTGCGTCACGACGTAGGCGCAAAGTCAGATTTCCCTCCCACGAAGCGGGAGATGTGCACTCTGCGCCCGCCGTGGCGGAACAATATTTCCCCTAGATTTGCAGAATGAAAAGATCTATAGTGCATCCCCTTATCACATTATCACATGATATATATTCACCAGCCGATGGGGAGGTGGCACTCACCGTTGGCTCGAGAGCCTTTGGAAGTCGGGATTGACACCCGAGACGGGAGTCCAACTGTTACCAGTCACTCGAGTATCTAGCGTCCCCGGATTCTATCAAACGGTGGAATGGTTACACTTGGTGTACGGCTATCGTCGCCTAGGTGATGCGGAAATAGCGCGATTGAATGAGGAGCATTGCGCTAAATACTGGTAAATGGGTGCGGTAATATACATCTGATTAAAAAATTAATTAACCAGCGAAAAATATTCCATTAGCGAGGGTCTTGAGTTCCTGACGTATACGAGCGAGCCGGTGAAACTTTTGCCCTGGCTAATGAATAAATTTCGCTCATTGGGTGGAACAATGAGAACGAGAAGGATCAATAAACTGAGCGAATTAGCCGAGGAGGGATATGGAATTGTGATAAACTGCAGTGGCCTTGGAGCACGGGAGCTCGTTGGGGACTCGATGGTTAAACCCATTAGAGGTCAAGTTACTCGGGTAATGAATTCACCAGTTTTTATTCTTACAGAAACAGAGCAGGAAACATGGGAGAGGTGAAGTATGAATTAGTGATTTTTTTATTCTAGGTCAATGCCCCCTGGTCCTACCGGGTTATCCTTTGCGACGACGACGACGGGAATTATATTATTCCGAAGTAAATCGGAAAGAATTTTTTTTCAAGTTTTTTCTTGTGAAATGGCGTAACGTAAGATTTCTCCCCTTCTGTTATTAATTGTGAGATTATCCCGAGAATTAGTCGTTTCAATGGACAATGTCATGAAGGTTTTTTTGGTTGAAAATTTTTTTAGTTGAACTGTTAGAGAACATTTTGAAAATTCGAGAAGATTTGGATGAATTTAAAATCTACTTTTGGTAAAATGTTCATAAAGTAATTGAAAAGTTGCGATTTTTTGAGATTACGAACTCTTTTCAGAAATCATTCGTAGATAATCTACTTTGCACTCTAGAAATGACTTTCCTAAATTGTAACAAATTCGTTCATACTCAAAATCTTACCAGATTTCAAATATTTATTCATAAAAAGGAAATCCCTCTGAATTTTTTTGTGCCATTTTTTAATAAAAAAATTATAGAAAAACTTTCTTTCCTTCATAAGTGGAGAAAAATGTATAAAAACATCCGAGAAAATTTCAAACCAGCAATCGGAACTAGATATCGAGAAGATAAATACGGAAAATGCTCTGTGCCGCGTGACGAGTCCCGAAAAAGCACGAATTTAGATGGGAGCAGGGGGTTGGAGTATCTCTCTTATTCACTCCCCTAATACACGATTATTTTTCGCCGCCACCACATTTAGCACATCATCCCCCATATTTTCGATCCCCTAGGGGGTAAAATTTCGATTGAATCATAACTCCATAAGAGCCTGTGCTTACGGCACATTTTGTTTGTTTAATTTCTCGATACCTATAAGTTCTAAAATTTTGCACAACTATTTAGTAAACGCTGAATAATGCCATCTTTCAAGGATACATGACATTCTTAAAATCCCTCGATTCGACGATAATTTCGCAATTAGTGGTAGGGTCCATGCCGAATCGTTACGTTTCACTTTTTCAAACAATATAGACTTTTCATTCTTTAATTTCAAATTTTGATAGCGTTGATAGTGTTATTCTCGGTGGGACTCATCAGGAAAACGACTACGACACAACTGTACGCCCCCTGGAGTCCAAGTTCATTCGCCATGGATGCGCTAAAATAATTCCAGCACACGAAGTAATGGACAAACCCCAATACTACCCATTCATTTTCTCTATTCCTTTTCTTAATTTTCTTTCTAGACCAGCGAAACTATCAAAGAGTGGGTGGGATTGCGCCCCGCGCGGCCAACGATTCGGCTAGAGCTTGAAACCTTGCAAACAGCGAATGGAGAGAACTTTACAGTAATTAAAAATCCATTTATCATTCCAATAGACGAGTAGTAAGCCGAGATAGCTCAATTTCGCTTCGTTCTCATTTTCTTAAAATTGCTGAATTGAAATCAAAGGGCAAAAATAAAAAATATGTCTTCACGAAAATGTCCTCATCTGTTTGGCTGCAAAAATATAAATATAGTGATAAAAGCCTACCACGTCGGCTAGAAAATCCTACGTATTCCCGTGCATAACGGAATTTTTAATAAAAAAAAATCTATAGAATAAAATCAATACATTTTGATCTTCCTATTCATCTTATTCTATTGAGATATTTTCAATAAAAAAGTCCTCAGCTTATTCGTCGAAAAATGGAAATCTATTGATTTGTTCTATAAAATATTTTCAATTAAACATTTTTCTTAAAAAAAACAGAGGAGTTGCGGGGTTTTCCACTAAAATCGATCAAAAATTGATAGATTACTCAGTGGAAAACTAATAGGGGAGGGTGGGGTAAAATGGACACTTTAGACTTTTTTAAAAATTATTCATAACTCAGAAACAAATTTATCGATTGAGCTCATTTTACGCTCATCCCAAAGGGAAAAAATTGTTCTTTTTATTGAAAAAAAAATATATTAAATTTCATCAACATTTCAACCCCTCATTAACATTTGAAAAAAAGTCAAAAGTGTCCGTTTTACCCCAACCTCCCCTATAATTTTCTAGCGGATGCGCTATGATTTTTCCCATACGCGTAACGTTGACTACAAATAAATATCTCGTTTTACCACTTGGCTTATTCTAACATCGATCGATCTTTTGTAACACACTACTCAGAAAATCACCCCCTGATCACTGACCCAATTCATCATTATTTTTATTAAGGTAATACACAATTATGGACATGGGGGAAGTGGAGTGACATTCGCCTGGGGTTGCGCCCTAGACGTAGCGGAGATCCTGAAAGGAATCCTCGACAAAGGGCCTACCTATCGCTCCCGCCTGTAGTTACATGTAGCTCCAATTTCCCGTGATCGTTGTAAATCTATTGAAAACATAAGGATTAATAAGCACATTGGAGCTATTCTCCACAAACTTCCAAAATTATCACCTCCATTAAAAGTACCAAAAAGAAAAAAAAACAGACTTCATTTTTAATTACTCCATAAACAGTACGAAGCAGTGCGTTGTCACTATTTGTTCAGGCATTCATGCAGAGAGAGTTGAGAAGGAAAAAAGGAATAACAGTACGTAATTATATTTAACAAAGTAACATTAAGAACGGTAACTGGTACAGTATGCACCTGATGCTATTTTGGGTATAATGCCGTGATTCTAGAATAATAAGAGGGGGTGTACGCGTAATAACGTGGCCATGGTCGTGACGTAGTCTAATTATAACACCACTTTTCACAAATGTCCCTTATGTAGTTCTCGGGTTCTATTCAGTGTGCATGCAAATGCCAAGGAGAATACACGGTAACAAGAATTATGTCTGTACAAAGGATAGATAAAATGTCCACGTGTTTATCAATTTATTCAAGTTATGCAGTTATCATCGGTAACGCCGTTGCAACTAATGTCAATTGACAATCAAAATTGAGAGGATGAGATTTGCTAAGAAATAAATTTCCAATTTTGCGTAGTTTATCCGATCAACGGATACACTTATGAACTGTAAATTCTAACTAATTGTTACACTACGAGAAAAATTTCCGTCTGGGAAAGACATCAGAAATGTCAAAATGCAAAGTAAACAACTTCATTTCATTGAGGAAAAAACAAGAAAAATGAAATTGTGACGTTTATTGAGTTTCTTTCGTTAAAAAAAACTTGCTGAGTAGTTTTTTACAATTTCCCTGAGGCATCGAATGATGCCCGATCAATGGCGACCAGGTCCACGCCATGAACACCGCTGAGGATAACACGAAACGTCTTGTTCAGAATCAAAATCATGGGATTGAATCTATCAGCGATCATGACAGCGACTCATCCACCGAGACAGATAACTCCAGCATCGTGAAACTTTGTGATGGAGGTGGTGGGGAGAATGTATTCACTAAGAATGAATTTAGCGTTGAAAATTGTCGAGACACGGGTGAAATCAAAGGTAAATGAGTAATGATGCTTGATTATTGGAAATTAGAACGAATTTATATTAGGGAAACGTGGAGATATGGAGTCAAAGGAGAAGAGAGAAGGTGACATTGCACCACCCAAGACGAGAAAGAGAAGGAAGAGGTGAGTTGAGGTGAAAAATGTCAATTAAAAGTTCTATTTTAATTAACGTAAATTTCACTCCAGATTACTATCGATTTGTACCACTAATTGCAAGTACGAGGTTGTGAGACGGGTGGCGGCGTTATATGGCATGAGAGAAGTGACTGAGGGCAGTGCCTGGAATTTGTACTGGACTGATTTGAGTATCAGTGTCGAGAGAGCAAAGGATATGAGGAGATTTCAAAAGGTCAACCACTTCCCAGGGATGACTGAGATATGCAGGAAAGATCTACTCGCGAGAAATCTCAATCGGATGCTCAGAATGTTTCCCAAGGACTACAATTTCTTTCCGAAGACTTGGTGTCTTCCGGCTGAGTGAGTTTGCTATCAAATTTTTTTGCTGGTTTATAAAATTAGTAGGCGCGTTGCTTAGGCAGAGTAAAAAAAACAAATTAAAATTCGAGATTTTCGTTGGATTTTTTTTTATGAAAACCCTGAAATTTCCCAGAGGTAATGAGAGAATGCGGCATCCTTTGACTATTTTCCAGAGGATTCTACAATTTTTTCGAAATTTTTTTTGAATTTTCCGTGATGTATTCTTTGATATGCAATGCAAAGAGAAATAATTTTCTCTTCTTGTTTTTTTTAATGAATGATGATTTGTTCACGAGTGCATTTGATGAAGTTTCAGTCATATATGAATTTGAAATGAGGATAAGAATTGAAAAAAGTAATTGAGAAAAAGTAATTGAGAATTGTTTATGTTTTTTTCTATTACCATTTCATTATTTCCTATAAAATTCTGGAAATCTCCACAAAATTCTGAAACTTTCTATGGTGCATCGGTTTTGCCGTGAAACGTATCCGTCAACAGATGAATAACTCGCAAAGACCGAGAAATTATTCATTTCTCAAAATTCCTGTTCTAGCTATGGGGATCTAGCAGCTTACGCAAGAACGCGTCGATCCAAAACATTCATTATAAAACCAGACACCGGCTGCCAGGGTCGAGGAATATACTTGACGAAGAACTTGAAAGAAGTTAAACCTTACGAGCGAATGATCTGTCAAGTTTACGTGGCAAAAGTAATGCCGAACGGGTTTAAAGTTGAACATTCCCTTCACGAAATTACCATTTGCTTTAATTCATTTCATATCTTCAGCCCTTTTTGATAGATGGATACAAATTTGATCTTCGTGTTTATACTCTGATTACTTCCTGCGATCCTCTGCGGATTTACGTGTACAACGATGGTCTCGCAAGGTTAAAACCTTGAATTACCTCAATTGCTCAAGAATAACAAGGAAATACACGTTGAATATTTTATAGATTTGCGACGAGGAAGTACAAAGAACCAACGAACCACAACACTTCAAACGTGTTCATGCATTTGACGAATTACTCGGTCAACAAACACAGTCGATTGTACGTGATTGATGAAGAAATGGGAAGTAAACGAAAAATATCCACTCTGAACAGAAGTTTGCAATCTGGTGGCGTGGATATCGATGAGTTGTGGAGGAAAATCGATGAAGTTATAGTCAAGACCGTGCTCTCTGCTTATCCGATATTGAAACACAGTTACAACACGTGTTTTTCAACTCATGACCTCATCTACGCCTGCTTCGAGATCTTAGGCTTCGATATCCTAATCGACTGGAAGCTAAAGCCCTATTTATTGGAGGTAAACATGTCGGTACATATGATCTTCCCAGGGGGATAGACAAAGGAGATGAGCTTCAAACACAAAGCGAGAAAAAATGTTTTTAGGGATCAATAGGGAACTGAATGAATTTTTTTCAATTTTCTAATCTCAAGTTTGGGACCTGAACAATTCATTTTACGTTCACAAACGTTCGGGATATTGCTAATTAATTAATAGTTAATTGTTAAGAGTTGAAGATTTCGAACGCTTTGAAAGCACTGAGGTCTAATCGTCGCACAGACGGTCGAGTGCTGGACCAATCACAAAGTGGCTCGGGCCGACTTAACCCAATGTTGAGGTGCGCCTCGACCAATGGAGGACGGCAACTCCCCACTCTCTTCTTTTTCGGCCAATGAAACGTTACCTGACCGCTTTCGTGACGCCAAGACCGAAAAATTGGCCGCAGAAACGACTGATTTTTAATTAATTATCATAAGACATCTAGGCAATATATCTCCATAATTTTCGCCGTTTAGCTATTCATACGTTAATGGGGACTGCATGCGTAGAGAAATTCGAAAGAATTGAATTTTTTCTTACTTCCAAAATTTGACGAGGAGCTCCGGAATTGAGAGATTTTGTCAGTAATTAGTGACCTGATCTTGGACATTCTAAATCGGAGGAATTTTCGCTCTAGATTTCAGTGACAGTGTCAAGAATCCCTGAAAATTATGGATATACCTTCAAAAACAAACTTTTTTCTCCGGGCATTTGCATATAATTTAGAGAAATTTATCAGAGGACCTCTCTTGAAAATAACTTGATCGGCTCAAAAAAAATCTCTTAACATTCCTCTCTAGACAAATTAGTTCTGCAGATATTAATGATAACAAAATTCATTGGCCTTTCGGTCATTGAAAAAAGCATCGATTTAATGACAGATGATGTGCACTTTTGTCGACGCTTTGGCTCCAGATTTCGAGGTCCTCATCAGAATAAAAACCCATCTGATTTCTCTGCAATACTAAAAATCCAGATAACATCAGTGTTGTAATTGTATTGGATGAATAATTTATGAAGTCTTTTAATCCGATTTTTTTCAATGGGATTTTCTGTATTTTTGGCGTTCCAGAGAAATAAAACTAATGAGTTTTTGTCCTGATGAGTTTGTCTTTTGATCGAAACGTCGCCAAAGTGCGACAATTAATAATCAGTGCTTTCCAAAACAGTTTGCATGGAATTCAGACCGATTCCCTGTTTACTTCTTGACCTCTAGCTAGTTAACTCTGCATTCCCTTTAATTTACCAAACAATGATATTAATTGCCAGGTAAACCACTCGCCCAGTTTCCACACAGACGCCCAGCTCGACAAGGACATAAAGGAGTCCCTGCTGATGGACACATTCAACATGCTGAACCTCCACCACTGCGACAAGCGGAAGATAATCGAGGAGGACAGAAGAAGAGTGCGGGACAGATTGCTCCAGGGAATCAACTCCAAAGACCCCAGGTACCCCCTTCGAAATTTCTCCCCCACAAGTAAAATTTCACAAATGATAAGTATTGTGAAAATTTAATGTAGTGTGAACGATACTGTAGGCCCGTCGAAGGTGGAAGAAAAATCCCTGCAGGAGGATCGCAAGTGGGAGGATGAGCACATGGGTAATTTCCGTCGGGTCTACCCCAGCGACAGCGGCAGGAAATACGATGCGTTCTTCAAACAGAACAACACGTCGATGTTCCAGGACACAGCAGCCTCGAGGGCACGAGAGGAAGCTTCAAAACTCCAACGAGAAGAGGCAACAGTAACGTTTACGAAATTACCAACTTCTCAACTTTCAAAATATCCATTCAATCGTGATTAATACAGGCCCCTTAATCACTCAAGAAGTTCATTAACCCCCATTTTATTATTAGTTACACCAATTTATTGAACTAACGGAAACTGGATTAGGAGGGGCGACCACAACTGGTCCACGTACTCTACTCCATTAAGGAGATTATGAACCTCGAACAGTATTTTAGGGTAAATTGAGGGGGTGTAATGGAAAATGCCATTGAGCAGTGCTTTTAACTGTTTCGTTATCGCAGATAATTCAATTGCTCGAGGGAAAATGAAGTGGATGCTGCAACGTTAATGATATTAAATATTTTACCGATATAATTTTCAACTCAAACGTCTGTTAAATAGGTCTTAAAGAGTTGAAAAAGCTTTGGGGAATAATTAAATAGTTTGAATTTGTCTGTCATCTTCAGATGAGAATGAGGGAGGAGGAGAGTAAGCGGATGGTATCGAAATGGGATTCGAAGTTGGAGACGGAGGGTCCCACTGGCACAAGGGGAATCAACTCAACGTCAGCTAGAAACAAACCAAACTCGGCAATATCCAGGCGATCGAGTCTGACACCAGCGGTAAATCCCATTTTACAATTCAATCAACTGGATTATTGAATTTAATGTGATTTACAGGTGAAAAAGTCGAGGGAACATGTGCCAAGGGCGGACAGCCTCTCGTCTTTCGTACCAGAAATAATAAGTGAGAGCGAGGAGCGTGAGCGGGTTGCTTCATTAGCCCAGCGGGATTTCTTGATAAAGAGCCATGGGATACTCGAGGAGATTTATTTGGCTATGAAGAAAAATGGTACACTTCGACCTGGTGATATTAAAAAATATGGGATGTATGGTAAATTGGGTCAGAGGAGCGAGTCTTATCCGAGTGGTGGAGTGAGTCAGAGACGTCAGATCGAAGTTCAACTGGAATCAATCCGTGGGGAGCGGGATCAGTCTGCTCTGGGGAAAAATAGTAAGAAGTTGAGGAAAAAATTTACGTCTTTCTATGATTGAACGTTTCGACAATTTCCTTGACAGTTTTCAAATGAATTACTGCGTTACTCTTTCTTTCAATTTCACTTCAAGTGATTTCTGTAACTTTATCATTTCTACTCTATACTTTAGTTCTATTGTAATTAATTGGAAAAATTGACATCTCTCTCTTTCTCTTCAAGCAACAAAAAAAATTATTCAAGTATCCGGGTTTGAAGATAATGCCTAACCAAGTGCTATTCCACTGAGCGTCAAGATATTCCATTAAAACTTCCCTCCTTCGGATGATTTGAGGGGGTCTGAATAAATAAAGCTGACGCTCAACAAGAACCTCTTGTGAACTACTCCCGTATTTGCTTCCGACATTCAAATTCCAAATTGAGTTTGAAAACTTGATTCTTATATACGCGTGAAAATTCATGTACAGATTGAATTCACAAATTCATACAGTGGATCTGTAATGTATAACAACCTTTATTGCTGATATATATTTTTGTATTCACATGATAAAAAATAAACTATGAACAATTTTTGTTGTGAGTCGGGTTAATTTTCTTGTTAATTGCCTTTTTAAAATCTTTATTCCATTAGTTTTTTTTGTGACTGTGAAGAATATATAGATGTATATGATAATAATATGACGTAGTTAATAGGTTCCTCCTGCCGTTTATAATGTCACTGGCTCAATCAATATGAATTGAACATGATAGTTCATACGTTCCTTTAAAAATTTGAATTTTTTTCGACATATTTTTTACAAATTCTCGAAGTAAATCAGATGGATATCTTCAGAAATTTCAAAAAGTTTTGCCTTTTGTGTTTCGACCTATTATTAAAAGGAAATATTGTGATACGTACAAGTTAATCAGGCCTTTAATATCATTTATACAGTACCAATGTGTAATTATTAATATGTTTTCTCTTCGTCGAATAATTATCTCAATGCAAAGCTTACTCGAAACGCATGCATGAACTCCATGTTCCATTACATTAGGATCTGATTTGCTTTATTTACATTCACCCCCATCAATTGAATCCGGGGCTTCACATATCCCGGAATATCTCCACATCACAATTTTTTTAGGTTCCGTTTTATTTTTTCTTCATTCATCAAACGGAGAAATGATCAATTAGTTATATACAATAAAGGAACAATGAGACACTGAAACTTTCTCGCCTCGTATCTGTCTGACATAAAAATGAGGAAACATTTTCGTCTAAAAAAATGATTTGTTATCAGCGGGTTAGTAAAGGGGTTATTCCACTCGATAAACACGCCGCGAGTCAGAGAAAACCTGTGAAACAATTCATACCTATTACACCTGCGTGAATGTATCTCACAAGTTCATTGATCAGAACATTTTCGTAGAAAATAGTGACGTCAATATGTACAACTTACATGAGATTGTGGTGTGCCATCGATATTCATTTGCATTGCATATTATAGTAAAAAAAACGTGTTCGAATATTCCTGTTCTAGGCTCTGTGACCCGTAAAAATGAATCATTAGAAGTATTCAAATTTCAGAATAATTTTTTTTATCATTTTTCATAGTTTGTACAAATAATACAAAATTTTTAATACACGAGTTTTGTGATGTTATCCTGCTGAATTCAGTATTCAGTTAATTGTAATTATTCTTCAATGTTTTTTCATAACTGAAAATCTATCGGATGGCTTCATACGACTGAAGTAATCGAATTAATCATCGACAAATGAAAATAAAATAAAATAACGTAAAAAAAAGTACTTGGCAATGGATAGTCTATTCGTTGTAATACTAATATGAGCATTATGTTATATATATGGGATCCTGTTTCTTGTAATATCTATTTGTTTTAATGACGCATGATTAAACTATAATAATTCTTAATCAATAAAACGATGAGTAACTAGTTTATTCATTAATTTTTCTCGTAGAATATCTTCTATTAATTAGAAATAATAAAGAAAAAAATCCTGTACAATTACGTGTGAACACGTTAATTCCACGCCTAGCTGCCCATGGAATTTATCTCGACGAAAATTTTTATGAATTCATACTCATTTTATTAAAAAGACATAAGTTACTCTCAGTGGAATTAATTCTGGCAAGAAACTGTTTTTGCTCTCGTCAAATAAACAGATAAAAAGAGAAAAAAAAATTAAAATTAAGAACGACCTTTAGGCTATTATCATCTTTCAATAACTGCATCAGCAATTTATCAATGAAAAATTAATATACAATTTGATGTACAGGCCAGTGTATACTTTTAAAAATACAGGATTTACACACAAGAAAAAAAAATTCTCAATAGCGTCCAATTAAAATGGAAATAAAATCACAGATCATAATAATTTGTTTTGGCCAAAAGAAGAATGATAAAGAAAAAAATCCTAGTTTACGCTTTTCTTTTTGTACCAATTATTCTCTGGGTTCTATAATTGCGTTATTTTATACAGATAGACACCCGTTGGAATATGAATTCCTGGCGATCAACTATTAGACAATAAATCCTAGAATAAAAGACTCGAAGATACTCTTCGTATTTGCTTTTTACAATTTACTTTGTCACGTTATTTTCAGGGTGCTTTCTTCTTTTTTATTTTCGAGCTAACGGAGATCTGTCGGCGACGCAAGATTCGGTCAAAGGTATTTCATTTAATTTGGGAGGAAAATTGAATTTACAGTGTCAGAGTGAAAATCTGGCAAGTGTACGTCAGCTTCTGAGCCATGTTTACACTCCAATTGTAAATGTAATGTGGCCTACTCGCACTTGCTGCGAAATATCCTAAGTTTTCAACAAGTTAAAGCTAAAAGTCATTAACAAACATCGTAGGCTCCATATTGAAATGCCCCAGGGGCGGTTCATGTTGTTGTTTTTATTTCAATTTCCTCGATTATCTTGCCCAGTATTCAGAGAGTGAAGTGCGTGAGTTCAGTGCTGTTTGCACACGAATTTTCCTCTATCTCCAATTTTCTTTTTTATTCTTATTTAAAAGTGTGTAATATAGAGTAATAAACTTTAACAATGTGTCACTTGCGTGTCTGTGGAACGACCAACTGTGAGGTGTTATGGCTTGAATTTGACCAGAGGTATGTTTTTAGATTGTAAACACTTATCACACACCCATTCCGCGTAAACCTCTTGCGTCAGTAGTTGGAAGGCTGCTTCCGATAACCCCGAGCATCCTCTGTTAACAGAAAAGGAAAAATTCAATGTATTAGTGTCATATTTTTCTCATTATCTTGACGAAATGTCAAACAAGAGTCACTTAACAAATTATGATGTAAATGAAGGGAATCGAAAGGTCAAGATCAATTGTTTTGCTGAGTATGCAACAATGTAAATCTCACACTTCCTTCTCATAGATCAATGTGCACAAAGAAATAGACTCATTATTGAATAATTTTTCTTTTTTGTGACAATTCGGAATAGATTGATATAGGTAAAATCACTATCTTTGTAACAGATTATAATCGTTAATTGAAAGTGAATAATTCACCTGTGAAACCAGAAATTACAGCCAGACTCACAAAGGATTCCCTGATCGTTATCATGTACTTCTTTGTGGCATACACCGCAAGGATAAATGGGTGGTGCATTTGGGTTTTGGGAGTTGAAAACCATTGGTTGATCGGCAGGGTAGATCTGGAATGGAAAAATTCCAATTAATACTGACAAAAAAAAATCCAAAACCAGTGCACTAAGAGAAATATCAACATAATATGACAAAACTAATTTCTTGTGCCAAATGTCTCATCTCTTAAGGATAACTCACTTGGAATAAAAATTCTGCATAATGAGTCGGGCAATGTAAGAATTTTGTGAAGTGTTCCTGACTCGAACGCGTGCACTTTACGATAAAGTGAGAATTTTTTGCCTCAAGAAATCGTTTTGTTACTTTCAGAAGATGAGAAAATGACGAAAAATGCTAACAGCTCCGATTCAGTGAATCAGAGACTGTCATATTGAATGAATACAGAATTTTGATGGAAGAAAATATTCCAGATATTTCTAAAATATAAGCGTCGCCTGCTCTCAACCACAATGAGTTCGAAGGAACGCAATAATCTTTTTTCCATCTTTCAAATTTCCCCTGTCTTCTCAGGGATATTATCTCGTATCACTTCTATAGCTCGAAGAGCCCCCATTTTTGTCTAAAGCTACCATAAGTTGCTCGAATATGTAGGCGATGTGCTTTATTTAAGAAATTATTTTTGTGATATGTCGATTTTTCCCTCAGTGTGGGAGTAACTTCACTGACGTCACGTAAGTTCCTATTTCTCCAGACCATTATGCGGTTCACAGCAAACACTTTTCGCTCTACTCCAAAACAATACTTTTCAACTACATCATTCTATTTCATAAAAACCATTTCACACTAGAACAAGTGCAATGAACGTAATTCCCAATTATCAATAGTCACAAGAGAATAATGGCCTGAAGAAGTAGCAGCATATTCGTCATCAATGCATGCGGCAGAAATAATAATTCGATGGTAGTCTACTGACCTTGCCCGCAGAAACCGGCATAGGTTTGGGTCCCATGCCAGGCGGTCCTTGGAACCCATGAGGCGGCATATTGCCACCCATCCCCATAGGATGTCCCATCGGTGGTCCCCCGCTCATATTATTCCCCATGCCCCCCATAGGCCCGCCCATATGCCCCATCTGATTAGGATGCGGCATGTTCATATTGGACATGCTGTTCATAGGCGGTCCACCCATGTTCATATTGCTCATTGAATTGGGCCCGGACATGTTCATATTATTAGGCGCCATGGAGCTCATCGTCGTCATGGGGCCATTCATAGGTCTTCCTAAATTACTGAGATTATTTCCCATATGATTGGGATGTGGCTGCGAGCCATTGTGATTCAACGGGCTGTTCACATTGTTCATGGGGGGCCCATTCAGTGGACTGTTAGGCGGCATATGGCTGTTGATATTGTTAATATTTATTGGTCCATTAGGCATGTGATTGTGATTGTTTCCACCGATGCTGTTCATGGGTGAACCTAGGGGCCCACCCATGGGGCTTCCCATACTGTGGCCCATGTTGTTCATGGGACTGCCCATGGGCCCACTGTTCATACTGTTCATGGGACTGCCCATTGGGGGACCACTCATCGGTGCATTACCCATGTGCCCCATGTTCATGTGATTGTTCATACTGTTCATCGGGCCTGGTGGCATGTTTGGTCCCATATTGTTCATAGGACTCATGCCTCCCATGGGTGCATGGCTCATTGGTGACATGCCACCCATGTGATTTATGTGATTACCCATGGGTGAATTGCCCATTGGACTCATGTTACCCATACTGTGGGGCATCATTGGGGACATTCCACCCATCGGTGTCAATGGACTCATTCCTCTCATAGGTGGACCACCCATGTGGTGAGGGTGGTGGGGGTGCATGTGCGGTGGACCACCGTGCATCATTGGATTTTGAGCACTTTGAGGTGGCGTATCGTCGAATGGATTACTCGCCACTATTGTGTCACCGTAACCCGACAAAGGTGGGGGCAGTAAATCCTGAAAGTAATTTAATCATTTTTTTTAAGGGGTCAAAAGGGGGAGATTTTGCAATGGAGTGCTATTAAGTCACTTCGTTAATACTGGTGAGGGCGCTTAATGAATGTTGGGGGTTTGAGTGGGGGGAGCGGCGAAAAATTGACATTTTGGCTGCGCGATGATGGATGAATTTGTTGGGCAAAACGATGAGCGCAAGGTCGAGGCAGATCTCCGGGATATTGAGTGATGAAATGGGCGAAAGAGTATTGCGAAATTTCAGCATTTTAGACTCTGGGGAGAGGGATCAACACGTGGATCGACACACTTTGGGAGGTTTTGGGATGGATTAATGCGAAGAGAGTTCAATATCGGTCTTTGTGGTATGAAACTCTTTTGTTGGGGATTGATTCTGGAGGGAGGACTCAGCAGCGAAGAGTGAAACTGTTCGAATGGATGTATTGAGAATGTCTATACACTTTCCGAAACTCGGATTTTTTCAGGTTTGAGGAAAATTCCGTAGTTTTTTAGACTGATGGGAGATCATGTGGGAACATTTCTGATAATATAAAATTAGTTGCAGACGATTGGACGAAATGAAATAGCTCTTATGGAATATATCAAGTGTGGTAATTAATTTTTAAGGGTTATTAGATTGAATTTCTCTAAGGAATACTCGATTTTTTCATCATAATGTGATAACAAGCTGTAGACAGTTGGACGATATGGTGATTAGAATGAAATTAACTAATTATTCAAGAACAGTAGCTCTTTTCACTGAAGTATCCTGTGAAAATAATGACCACACATTGGAAGACTCGTAAAATAAAAATAGAAAGAGGACAATGGTCAACAGAAAACCTGGGGTCAATATGAAAAAGAGAATTCTAAGAAAATGACAATTCTCAATGTTTTTGCAGCCAACAGGGTTTGTAAAATTAGTATGGAAACCTACTTTGTAGCTCTCAATCTTCTCCACAATAAGGTTCCTCAGAAAACTATTATTTTATCCCTTTCCCTAAACCATTCCCCTCTTCACTGCTAAACTGGAGTTGCACTAATTTACACAGCGATCTCAGTCTTCTACTGCCTAATCCATAACTTCCAAAAATAAACTTTCATCCAAAACGGCAAACTATCGAATCTCCCCCTATCGATTTGCCCTAATTACTAAACTCCTCGAAATAACTCCAAAACTACATTATTCCCTGAGAATCGATGGAGTCACCCAATGAATTTATTATAGGATCTCCCTCTGTGACATTCTACAGTCGCTGGCATAATCATCCCAATCAATTTCAGGGATTCAACGTGGGACAGACATCTCGATAATTCATAAAATTTCAGATAAATCGTTGTACCTGGACCGTCGGTGGTGGCTGTGGTGCAGGTGGTGCAACATTGGCATTGGTCCTTCTCTTTTTTTTAGGATTAGCACCAGCTGGTGGTGGTAGCGGAGGATGAGGATGGGGATTTGGCTCTGGATGTGGTGCATTTGGTCCCATGCCCACTCCCATGCCCATACCACCTAGCGGCATCCTAGTAAAGGGTGGCATGCCTGCAATGTTATGGCTCATCTCCTTTCCTTACTTTTTCCTATTATTTTCCCCCTTATTTTATCATGCCGGGAGAGTTAATACTATGGCTCTCTCTTGTCATCCAGAGTGCTTTCCTCACTGCAATTGAAAATTACAACAATTAATGGACGACAATGTTTACTGACAATTGACAAACAATTTAATTAAAAATTCCATCTGCACCAATTTCCCTCCAATTGCACATTGAAAATCCAACATGATCCATTCTAGAATGAAAACAACACTTGTATATTTCTGTCATCGCCTTGGATTAAGAATGAAAACTGAATAAATGTGGAATTTGTGCATGAAATGGCGTCAAGCTAAAGCCAATGCGAGTAGCTTTCGTATATCTACAAAAAAAGTACAAAAAAAGAAACGAAAAAAAAAGAAATGAAAGCAAAAGGCCGAGCTTCGAGTGATGCCAGTTTTCTTCGTAAACCAACCTAACCTACGTATTTTTATAGCGCACTCTCATAAGTTGTATTTATTTATAGGCTCCAATGCAACATTCACCCACGAAAAATCGTCGGAATGATGAAAATAATTCTTACCAAAGCATTATCGCACGATAATGAGGCCAATGCACATGATGCCAACAGTTTTCTCTTATTATTCGGTGAAAGAATAACACAAGAAATGATTGTGTGTTTCGTTTTCACCTAGCCAACTTCGGTCCAGTGCCAACACTGTGCGCTTCAGGTCCTTCTTCTCCGCGTCACATACATTTTATGGGAGTTATTCGTACGTTTCAATGACACATACACTGGAATATGCTTGATTACACTAGTCACTGTGCTCCGATTATGTTTAGGGAGTAGAAATATGATCGTATTTATAGTTTTAATGTCAGCCCTTTAGGTAGCAATGACCATTGTCGAACACTGGTAACTCGGCGTTTCTATGTGTTGGTTTACGACTTTCCGTCGGGGACGGCTGGTGTAGATTGCTGTGGGTAGATGGCGCCACTGAGGCGCATTCCTGAAGCTTTATCGGGATCCAGTGCAGGAGAACGTGTTTTTTAAAAATTGCAGAGTCGGTTTTTTCTGTGCACCGGAGAATTGCAATGCTTCTTGCGCCTTTAATTCGGGGGGAATTGAGTGTTCTCTGTTCTTTTGAGCATTCTCGATTTCAAAAAGTATTAACATTATGTTAGAATTCTATTTTTGGTTTTAAAATAAAATTACGGTGGAATTACTTTTTATTTAAACAGTATTAACGTTTACGTCAATAGTTGCGCGGGTGTTTTATGGCGATGAATTATTCCATGCATAAACCAAATTCAATGCAGACGAAGCGGTTTATTTCGTTTGCACTCGGGTAAAAAAAATTACTGCAGAGAGCGGATTTTAGTATTTTATCATAATATTGTTTTGGGATAGGGTACATTCTGTTCGTATGAGGTCCCCGTTATTTACTTTATACATTTTATTACGAAGGTTCCTATGGTTATAAAATTTATTTATTCAAACATTGTTTACGAACACCGCTGAAACAGTCTGATATTAAACTTGCATGTACGTGAATGGATAATAAATTTTTTATCCGCAAGAGAAAAATGGAAAATCGCAGCAACTCGAACAGGTGAATTTTTTAATAGCGTAAATATAGGGAACGTGGAGGTATGATTTATTATTCAGCAAAATAATAAACTCCCACGCAGAAATTAGTCCTTCCATTCTCTGCAAATGAAAAATATTACGATCTGATGGACAGGAAGTAATGCCCTGAAATAATGGATACATCTCTCGATTTTTACATGTTTCCAATATTTGTCAGGAATTTCGTGAAGTTGAAGTCGCAAGTTCACGTGAGTTTTCAATATGTTGAGAATTGCGCAATTCTCAGTTTCACGATTTTTTCCTTTCATTTTCAAGAGTAATTTCATCATCATTATCATCAAGAGCAATTAAATGACCGAGTTCAAAGGGAACTCATTTCAAAATACCCAGTACTGCTCCATAAGAAGCTGAACAAGAACAAAACAGGAGGAATAAGCAGGACTCATTGACTCCGTATTGTAACTCTCTGAAGAATCCCATCATCATCGGAACTGCACCGACGTGGTACAACAAGTGCAGTCCTTTGTCCCGCGGTACAATTTTTTCCCTTTCTACACCTTCCTCACCCTCTATCGATCACTCGCCCAAGCTTATTCTAATTATCCTCCACCTATTTTGCCCTCCGAAACAATTGTATTACTTCAATTCAAAGTACACTTGTGAATTTCATTCCTTAGACATCAGCGGACTTGTTTCCCTTGGTGAAAATAAAATCTGATGAATGGAAAGTTTAATGCAAACGAGTGAATTAATGAATCCCTAGTAATCCAAACTCGCCATTGATGAGGCAGAAACGATTTTCACTCTGTCAAACTAATCGTTAAATGGGAGGAGGGAACAACTCTCAACGTGCTTTCCTCCTCCTGTCATCCCGTTAAACGCTTAGTTCGACACTTTAATCAAAATTTATGGGAACGCCCTGTATGCATGAGGCCCTAACCGCTCGACACCATGACAATTTCACCGCACATTTGAAACCAATACGTTTTCAATCAATTCATTTCCATCGTACAAAACTTCATTAAAATATTTCTGTTTCTCTGTTCATTTAAATTATTCATTCCATGTGTTATGACCACAGTGTATAGAATTGTTGATTGGGGGGGTTGGGAGGGAGAAGTAATCACCGCAGTGACACGGTGTGAATGGCTGTCGATTAAATTCGATTCACTCATCGAAGCGTCAAATCTTCCTTTTGTCTCACATTGCTGGAGTTTTTTTTCAGTTGATGACATAAAAATCATCGACCGGATGATTTTGATGTAATTGAGGGCTTCCGTTTTACTCAGTCTCTATTTCAGGAGATGTGAGATTAGTTTTCCAACGTGAAATATTCGTTCAAATCTATTGAACTTGTTGGAAAGGATTTGTCAGAACTTTTTTTTTTCGGGAGAGATAGGAATGAATTGTGACACGAGAGAAAATGAGTTATATTTGGACACGTCACATCGTCAAAGTTTGTGATAGAATTTTCGATGAATAACTGTTGTTTTAATTTGTAAATACCGATGAAGCGTGTTTGGATGACACCTTTGCCGTTCTGATGGAATAGATATTTTTTATTATTAATAAAATGAGTGAAAAAGTTCACTCACGATTTTATTCTCTCAAGTTATTTCAAACGGTTTCTTCCGAGCTTCGCAGATGTACGATTTTTATTTAGAGAAGACTCCTTGAGTTTTCAAATGAATATTTAATGCAATTGAATTTTTCTATCGAATTTGATAGAATAGATAAATTTTTTTGTTATTAATAAAATGAGGGACAAAGTTCATCACTTTTTTATTCTTTTAAGTTGATTTAAACCTTTTCTTTTTGTTGTTGCAGAAGTTGAATTTTTATCTAGAGTAAAGTACTTGAGTCGTCAAATGAATGTTTAATAAAACTAATTTTTTCTACTGAACATTCTGATGCACTAAATCTTTTTCTGTTATTACTCAAAAAATAAGTGTCAAAGTTCTCTCACATTTTTATTCACTCAAGTTAACTCAAACGTTCTCTTTCTGAGCGTTACAGAAGTATAATTTTTATCCGGAGTCGAGTAGATGAGTTTTCAAATGAATTTTTAATGCAATTAAATTTTTCCAACGTGGCTCGCCCTCTACAACTTTCCTCTTGTGGGAGAACAAATGAGTTTATAAATTAATTCTTTCCTCACAATGAGAATTCTCTGCTTGATAATCCCTTCAATTTTCCCTTCGAAAATATTTTCTATTAATACCAGGGAATGAAGAACAGTTCAGCGACAGTTTCAATTGTGACCTCTTGTTGATGCTGATAAGTGCCACTCCGGGATCATCGCTCGCTGGTGAATACATAAAATGCCCACCTCATTATCCAATAAACGTGTGCGGCATGGGTGTAAAGAGCGTCACAGTGCGTCAAAAACCAGTTTTAAACGTCACATGGTAATGAGTGAAAGTATACCCACGCTATATAAAACTTCATCCTCCGTGTAACATTAAATCTCATTAAACAGTATTTTCCCTTTTCTTTCCCCTGCCTACTAAATGATAAAAATAGTCATAAAAACTGCGCAAGCCATGCTCAATGAAACTGACAGTGCTCGGCATTTAATCACGCTACGTACCCTCAATTTTCACTTTCTAATAACAGTTCAACATTTTGGCTTTCACTCAAATGAGATTCAGCCAGAGAAGAACCGCACAAAAACGAAGTAAAAAACAGAATGAGGGACTTTACCGGAGATGAGAGTAAATGAAACACACGAACTGAAATAATCTAGTGTTGAAAATCGTCGCCAAAGTGTTCTATATATCTATACATGGCTGCAAGCATCAAGAGCCCTCGGGATGCTCTCTCGCGCCCAAACGATTGGTTCTCGAACTCAACTTCTGTGGGCACATTTCGAAACTGGGTCGCACAGTGCGATAAAAAAAGCTAACACTTGGTGAAAAACGGAAGGATAGAAACGAAAAAATATTGCAAAAAAAAACATCCCCTCAAGAGGTGGAGAAAAATCCATCCCAATGTGGCAAACCCAGTGAAACAAATGGATTTCACAAACACCAACATGTCCCCCTTCCCTTGACAAAGAGTCAGAAAGAATAAAAATAAACACAACAAGAATAACAGTTTCTGGGAAATAGTCAGGGTGCAAATCAATTTCGCGTGCTGGACACGTGTTCTGAATAAGGAACAAGCGATTTGCACGAATTACGGACATAAATGTTCGAGGGATGCAAGCAAAGGTGGGAGACAGTGAAATATCTCGGTCAACGTAACAGGCACTAACATGTATGGACATCATTCACAGAGTGAAATTAATTCAGGAGCAATTGGTATTTGCGATAGTTTTTTTCCGACTTAATTTCTCCCTGGAGCACTGCGGGTTTTACAGCAACTTTCGTTGCTCGAGTGTGTCACAACTGTTTTTCTGTAGCAGTCGGGAGACACTGAAAGTTTTTAATAATCAGGTATTGTATTTTATCACGATGGGAAATGTTTGCTGGGACAATGAAGCCTGGTAAAATTATTATTTTCTCGTTTATGGGAGGAGAGTTGGGATATAATTGTCATTGTTAAAATTTTAACCTTTGCAATCCGGGCGCTGGGAGTCAGCCCGAACACTGTTGAAAAAATTGACATTTCACGGAAAGTTCACTAGGAATTTTTAGAGGGACAGTGGGTTCCATTTCGGGGGGAAGAAATCATGAAATTTTTCATTTTTAAGCAGCAGGAAAACAGAGGTCTTCCACTTACTTCAGTTTTAATGAAATCATGAATATGTAGTGTCAAATTACCCCGAATTTTCCTTAATTCAATTGAAATTCCCCTTCATTGATTTTTATACAAAACTTTGCATTTTCCATCACAGAAATCCTCAATAATTCTTTGGAAATACAATGTGATAAAAATTTCCAAGAAGTTTTTCGGTCATTTCAGGAAAATTTTTTTCAATGTTCAGTCCCAAATTACGCTGAATTGCCCCTAATTAAATTAAAATTCCTAGTATCCATTGATTGTTTCATAAAACTTTGCATTTTCAATCACGAAATTCCGCGAGATTCCATTGGAACTATAATACGCTGAAAATTTCAAAGAAGTTCACCAAAAATTTTCGGGTAAAAAATTTTTAACCGTGAGTATCGATCCGGTTTTTCTGGGTCGATTGATTTTTTTTTAAATGTTACGAGACCATTTTTTTTTGAATGGTTCGACATCGTGTTTTTCGTACAGAGTGGATTCTGAGAGCGTAGCCAACAGGTAATGCTGGGCAATGGACGGCCACGGATCAGTCTTCCTGCTTTCTCCCGTGTTGTAAACGCTCGAATGGCAATAGTACAACTCCTGGAACGGTCTTTTCAATGAACTTTCACCCAGGTATTTCCCAGTGACGTCTGTATTTGTTCTATATCCGTTTACACAGGGTTATAGACGTCACTCCACTGATATTTCTCTTTCGAACTATCAATGAAAGCGCTTGTTCTCACCACAGCAAAAGGGAGAGATTGAGGTGATCATGCGAGTGGATGAAAGAGAGTGAACATTGCTCCATCAGCAAATAGAATTAGTTCGTCAACGCACAAGTGAATTGGTACGGTTACACCTATATTTCCAGTATTACCTTTATTCGGTGAAAAGGGAAAAAGAGAGGTTTATTCATATATTCGCCGGGAGGGTCTATTCAACTTCGGCAATACGGCACACTGAACGTTTAATCGTATTTTACGGTACAGCTCCGCGCGGATTCGCGTCTTTTAGTACCCAATCGCGTTATCGAGATTATAGCGATACATTTTCCTCTTTTATTTATTTATTTTTTTCGTGAAATGGTATTCGTTATTCTTCACGGAGATTCTTTTATGCTTCGGTGGTTTAATAAAATATATGGCGGCGTAAAAGAGTGAAGCTTTGTCACTGAATGTCGGGTGTTTGAGGTATATTGGTACTTTCTTGCGAGTTTGTGATTTAGTGCTCGTCACGGTGCAGCGAGGTTGATTTAGGAAATAACATGGCGGCTTTTGGAGGAGTTATTTTTTCGATTAAAAATATGGCGGGTGTTCTCGTGATAATGGCCCACCTCACGTATATTCCGGTTATGTTGATGAGGTTCTGAATGTTTTGAGAAGAGAATGATTTTAATAGAACGAAGGCCCTATCGAAGAGAAACATACTCTAACGCGGAACAAAAATACTTGAATTGAGTATATTTTATACTCGAATGGGGAATTTGTGTTTCAATTCGAGGATGATTATTTCGTATCACCCTCGGTTGTACCAAGCGCTCTCAAGTGTAATGTAAGTGTAATATGAGGGTCAGACACTAGGTGTGAGAATATAAGGGTCAAAAAGTGGAGTGGAGTCACCCCGTACGGAAACTCATGTAACGTTTAGTAACGTTTAGGGTTGGATTCCGGGTAAAAGAAACTGTTCTCTTCAACTATACCCAAATTTTTATTAGACTTAAATACAAATACTGACTATCGCTCTTAGGATATCTTCCCGATGAGGTGTTAACTCTGAGCCAGTTCGAATAATTCCGATTTCGTTGGAGTACAGAGGGTTTTTATTTAAGTCCTCTGAGGGTGGATATTAAGAGTTGGAGAGAATGGCGGGACTAAGGCCCACGGTGTGTGATTGGTCAGTTTTGGTGAGCGATGGACCTTGAGGCTTGGATTAACGGAGGTAGGGGAGAGGTATGTCCAGGTGAGGAGTTCAAGTAATTGAGGTATTGGGAAAATACCGAATTAGGGGTCCGTGCAATTGAGGTTTCGGGAAAGTACCGGTTTAGGGACCTTTGGAATTGAGGTATTGGAAAAGTCCCGGATAACTGAGTAATTAAGCGCGAAGGATTTTTAATGGAAAGGATAATAAAACGAATCGCCGGGTTTTCTGAGTTTGCAGGATGAAAATAAAACAATAAAATGTAATAAAGTAATGTGGAATGGGAATATTTGGAGGACGCTTACAGAACAGCAGAACTGTTTGGACACTAAATTTAAGAAAATAGTGGGTATACAACAATAGGATCGAAATTAACTCCGCCACATTGGGTCCAGATACTGTGTTCAGGATTTTACCACATCCTGATCCAAAACGCTAATCAAAAAATTCAGGTATTGGATCTAAAACTGATTTAGATCCAGGCCAGCAGAGCGAAATTTCCACTCGGGTCCCTCTGCACGTAAAACATCCACCAAAGGATGGATTTTTCGTGAAAAAAATGGGGAAAATCTTTGTCATGCTCCGCAGGAAACCCCCATTGACGCTCCAAAGCGGTAAAAAAAATTCAGTTCAATTCTGTACAAAGACCCGGGGGACAACAATTGCACAGTGAATAATGCAGCCGTAAATAAGCCGTAAATCACACTTTGTCATACAGTTCGTTTTGATACACCGACTTTCGTATTTATGGGTGAGGGACACAAGGGAGAGTGAGCCAAACGCGAGAGAGACGAGTGGAACAAACTATACAACGAGCCAGTGCGTTCCCAGAATTCGTTGTGAGAGGAGTTGAGTGGTGATTGTCAGGGGGATTGGCTTAAACCAGGTTCAACGTCGGGGACCTTTGCCGGCTCAGTGCGTTACTGCTTCTTGCGACGAGCGGTCGTAGAGGTGGAGAGAGTCTCTTTGAAGAGGACAAATCACATTTCAACCAAGTTCCCACCATAAAATATCAAAGTTTTTCTTTTGAGTATCAATTTCACATCGAGTATCACAATGTTTACCAAAGTAAGTAAAAATCTCTGAAACATGCAAATTTTTGATCGACCCTGAAATTTCTCTCAGCGTGCATTTGAAGAAGAGGATAACCCCTCGAAAGCAGACAGATTCCATTTTCCTCTGGATTTGAATAGCAAATACAAAAAGTGGAGAAAGATTGAATACCGGTTGAAAACCTTTAAACCTTAAGTATCATTTTTGATGACAATAATTCAATGGATCATACAATCCCTCTCATGATATATATTACCGAGTATGCGTGCGTAATATTGATGCATGGGTTGAATTTTTTCAACTACTGAAAGCGAGTTGAATGCTAAACTGCTACTTATCCCCTTACGATTCCGAGCGTCTCGAACTTTTTCTCAATTACCGATTCTCGGTACCCCACCCCCTCCGGGCCACCCATCTTGCACTCGAGAAATCTCATTGTACGCAACCGTTCAGTCGTAATAGGAAGGCTACGGGTAATTTACAATGCATTGTTGGTTTCGATTTATCCCTCTTTATCGTTCCATACACTTTAAACTCACATAACTCTCGGGGATATGTCGCAGTAACGCACGGGATTTGAATAACCGATGAGTTTACTCAATATTTGTTTTATGAAATGTAAACGAGTGTCATTGTTTCTCCTTTACATGAAAATAGTTCAGTGGTTGTTGTACCTGTTTTCCGCCTGAAAGATTCAATATTGTCTTTTCATTGGGCATGATAAAAGCCACAGGACTCTCCTATATCCAAACAGACTTTTATTGAACGCTCGTATATTTTCCCCCAACTGGCAATTAAACGCCAAAGTAGAATAATTGAAAAGAAAATCAAGGAAATCCGATTCAGCGGATTCAACTGATTTTATTTTTCCCTCTTTTTTTGGGAAAGTTTTTCTGCCTTTTTAAACTTTTTGGAAGTTCATGAAAATTCCGGATTGGCTTGAGTGCTGTACTCAGTGAGTGAAGAAAGTCGTTTAAACTTTGAAAATTTCACCTTTCCTCGATTTACATTAATTAGGGTGTGCATAAGTGATCCCTATCGTTTTCTTTGGACTTTTTTTCACTTTAGTCAGCGCTTTCACAACATTCAAATATTATTCATTTTGCGCTGGGGGAGCAGAGAGATTAAATTTTTAGATGGAAATGTTGTGCTGAAACAAGTTTTCTGTATTCTCCTCATTATCGTCAGCACTTTCCTTTAATTTTAGTGAATACGTATGGAATGAGTTCTTTGACGATTCTTGTGAACATGATGTGGTGTAGCTCCGGATGCGTTGATGTTCCCAACATGTTAATGGAGATATTTTTTATGTACATCATATTCATGGATTTTCATTATATTTGAAAATATATTTTTTTACGTGTGACGATGCTTAACAGAATGTTTTAAAAGGCGGGTCAATAATGACGTTGATTAATGCCGATATATTTCATTGAACTACGCTCAATCATCGTTATGTATTTATTGAAAAACCAGTGAAAAGGTAATATTCTGGACTAATTTAATCTTTCCTTGCACAATAAATGAAAGGGTAAATCATTCCGTGCTTGCTGCATTCTATCTTTTATTGAGGGTATTTGATCTAGCGAATAGACTGTCTTGAGGGTCAAGCTGATTGATAGTTTTTTCGTTATAAATTAAGTATGAACCTGGGTTCATTCATGGCGTAAAGGAACAGGGTAAACACTCTCAGAGACGAGGGAAAACACATGAAATTGAAATGAAATTCCCGCTACATTTGTTGGAAATTTTCATCACATTAGAGTTTCAATGAAATTTCAAGGAATTTCGTCATTGAGCATTCCAAATTTTATGGAAAATTCATTGCACACTGAATTTTAATTCAATTATTCCATGAGAATTGATGGAAATAAAAAACATCCCGTTAAATATATTCTCGAATTTTTAATGTTTTGAAAATTCATCGTAGTTTGGACAGAATATTCATGTTTTGACTAAAAATTCATGAATTCTCGATTTCACAAAAATTTTCAATAAAATCCTAAATTTTATGATTTTACTGTAGTCAACTGTCCGTGAAATGTCAATCTTTTTTTTCCCGTATACTCTATTGTACTATTTCGTACAGTTACAATGACTCACCTAATTCCCAAATTTTTATGTATCTTTCCATCGCTTTAGTCCACTCAACTCTATTAGACGTTAAACCTTTCTGAATGACCGCGTCGAATTCCCGTCATCACAGAACCCGAAACCAAAGTCAAAAGGGCCCACGAAATTGAAAATTCCTCACCAATGTCTTCTCCCATTCCAGGTACTTCTCATCAGCCTGCTCATGTGTGCAGCAGTTATGGGACAAGAAGCTGAACAAAGATCACGTGTTTCGGATGAGCAAGTAAACATTGCACTCAACGACCCACGTTACTTGAAACGTCAAATCAAGTGTGCACTCGGCGAAGCGCCTTGCGATCCCGTGGGCCGTCGTTTAAAAAGTAAATTTATCATTTTTAAATTGCTCCCCAACTTTCCTCCGTGCTTTCACTCACGAGAAAGGATTATAAAAAGGAGACAAGGGAGAATACGAATGATTCATTTTCTCCTTAAAGAGTGGAGTTGTAGAACGGAGGGGGGAACCACGGGATGAAGTTTCTTTCTGTACATCTACTTATCTCGATCCTTATGTAGCTGTCTCTAATGTGAATTAAGATATCTCTCAAGCTACTTTAAACTGACTTCCTCCTCTTCCCGAGTAGTTTAAGGATTAATTTCGAGTGAAATACCATGGCTTTTAATCTTCCAGGTTTGGCACCGCTCGTACTACGCGGCTCATGTCCCCAGTGCTCTCGCGAGGAGACACATCAAATAAAGAGAGTACTGTCTCACATTCAGCGTCAATTCCCCAGGGAGTGGTCTAAGGTTATCAAGCAATATGCTGGAGTTTAAAGTGAACTATTAATCATAAAAAAAACAAAACTGACCATATTCTGCTAATTTTTATTAAAAATAAGTTACGAAAATCCAGAAAAAAATGAATCATGCGGCGAGTCATCATTAAATGACGTGTCGAGTCTCATTGAAGAATGTTGAAACCTGGAAACGATTTGATTCAAGTCGAGGGAATACTTGATAGAACTTGAACTCCTGTAATCAAGTATTAATTTGACTCGAATCAGGCTTTTTTCGAATTGAATAAAGTCGTCACGAACTACCTAAAATAGGTAGATTTTTCGGGGACAATCAGGTAGAATATATCAGTAGCGAAGTGGTAAAGCGGTTTAAGTCGACTTATCTCCCAGTGAAGTTTTTGACAAATATTTCCGAATCTAAGGGAGATATCGAAATTTTCGTAACTATATTTGTTGAAGTTCTCAATCGGTTCTACAAAAAAGTTTATAACAAAAATTTTGCTATCACCCTCAGATTCCGAGATATTCACTGAAAACTGGTCAATAGTCAAAATTGACTTGAACCGTTTTACTAGTTCGCTACTGATATACTAGAGTGAAGCCTGGGACTACGTGAATCATTATTTTCTTCTGGGTATCTCTGTGATTTCACTGATGTCAGTTTTGTCTCTGAACCCCTCCACCTCAAGAAAAATACTGAATAATTGTTACATCGATATTTAACTACATCACGAATAGAATATTTATTGCATTCTAACTCTACCACAAATTTATCAAGTATTGCAAACATCTAAGATTCTTCGTTAACCTTTCCAAATAAATTGTCTGTAAAACTTCGTAATAAAAAATGTCAACCAATAAGTTACGAAATTGGAGTATACTAGTTTCTTGAAGTTGCCCCCGGAAATCCGTAAAATTTTAGATCTCATCGATATTTCTGAAGTTTAAAATTCTCCTGAAAAGTGCATAACGAACCGGTTAATTATGCTGTTATAAGGCTTCAGTCTTATAGTCTTATAACAATAAAACACGAAAACTTTGATGAAGTCATCAAGCTAATTGAACGTAATGGCTCGACTTACTCAAGTCGTGGAAAATCCCCCTCACGTATCAAGATAATAACAGTTTTTTCACTCAATCAGCTCCACCTCCCCGCACACTCCCGACATTCCACAATCCTTCAAAAAGTATCTCCACAAGCATTCAAAAAATCAAACAGAAACACCTGAAGAAATTCTGGAGCACGAGAATATGCAAATGACAATAAAACCGCTGAGGCAGAAAATTAATTGTGAAGCTATGAGCATTTACCGATGATCTGGTATTTCCATCCTCCCTCGAGTCATCCGGTTGGAGTACGGTAATTATCGAATAAGCGTACATACTATATACGCTTTGCCTTGTAGAAGTGGATATAGAGTTTGAGAAAGTGGATGGAGTGAGGGACTAGAAGGAAGAAGGTAGTGAGGGGGTCGTGGTGCACTGAGTTTCTGAAATAATTAAGCTCATCGACGCCCAGGAGTCTCTTGCATCCAGATTTACCATCCACCCCCAAACTCCTCCTCTCGCCCCCCCCCTTCCCCTCTTTGAGAACCCTTTTGCTCCCAAGTGGGGGATTATTCTCAAAGTTTGTCTCGCTGCTTTGGTGAATAAAAAAAAAGTGAACAGCTAAGAAAATTCAAAAGCAACTCCTATACTCGTCGAAAGAGAATAGATAGGGATGAGGAAAACTTTTGTTGGAAACTTTTTAGGAGTTTAAAGGGTAGAAGTGGAGGATGCGAATTGGAATGGGGAGTGATTTCTTTTCTCCTTCGAGTTTTCACGATTTTACCCATATACATGAACTCCTTTGATAGAAAAAATAAAATACACTTGAACAATTTGAACAAGTGAAAAAAAAAAACTGGCAACACACGTTCGATTTGTCGCTGTGCAATATTTTTCCAACAACTTCCGGAATCCTCTGAGTGTGTGTATTTGTGTTTGTGGAGAAAACGAAAATATAGGAAGACAAGTTGTCGGGTCTGGCACCGACGCTCCAGGATGATACATCGCAACGGGGCTCTCCTCTTACACTCCCCCACCCACCAGTGCATGTGTGTGCGACTGCGACCCCGTAGTACAGTATACAGACAGTGAATCCATGTCTCTTAAGTACCCTAATACCTCCTCCCTAACACGTTATCCCTTAGTCGCAGTTACTTAAAGCCATCGTAGCCCCCATTACCAAGCCCACAAGCATGCATGTACTATCAGTTGTACAGTTTAAAAGCGAAGCGAGAGAGGATAATGGCGTCTGAGAAAGACACAACCATCTTTAAAAGACAGCCTGTTGCGCCGAATAGAATAGTTCGCCCCATTCCTCCACTCAGCCCCGAAACTGGCAAAGGGGAGTGTAAAAAAATTAAAACACTCGAAATTTCTCAAAGCCGGTAGAGTGGTTATCTGATAGTCCGGGATCATGCAGTTCTCAATAACGTGAGCTCGAGGATAAAGGATATACCAACAAACACACCCCTCACGCCCCACTACACACACATGCACACCAATGGCTTCATACCCATTGATACTGGCAGTATCAAGAGTCCACCAACACTTCGAGACCCCGGGGTTGTTCCACTTGTCTCTCACCCCCGGTGTCTTTCTCTCTTCTTTTCTACCAGCGTACAGAAGGCGCAAAATAAAGTGAGACGAGAGCACTCTCTGCACTCGTGGTATACATACAACGAATGGATATACACAGGTACCTAGGCGATTCGTGGAGGGCACAAGTTAGTGTCTATATACGAGGCCGAGAGATCGATAGAGGACAGAATCCCGGGACATCCCCAGCGATCCTGTTCTCTTATTCTTGCAAGAAACGTTCCTGCATAGCTTTTCCTATATCTCAAACCCTAACCCGTTCGCTATATGGTGAATGGCGTTTTGCATTAACGCCGTTGTCTTACCATTCCACCGAGAACCCCTTTTGAGCCCCCCCCCCCCCTCCCCTCACACACACAGCCCACGGTCTCTTCCTTTCTCTTTCATCCTTCTCCCTCAAACATCCGTTTCCTCTTTCACCCCCTGTGGATTCGCTCGTTCGATGAGTGCCATTGGCATTATCCTCACTAGCAACCTCCCATCTCCGGCAATCTGACTTTGCATCATCATCTCACCCCGCTTTACATACCACTCTCCCACCTCCCACGATTTGACTAACGTATAATTATCGGAAGCATGACACCCGGTACGAAACTCATACCCCCGGTACAATCACCTCTCGTGCAACGGTTAACGACGGTAGGGTTGGTGAGCCGGATTTAGATAATCCTGATTAAAATATCAGTACTTCTTGGTGGGAGGGGGCAACATGGGGTGGGTTTCAAGGGTGTTGTGCTACAATGGGGAATTGATTCAATTCGTTCGATTTGGGAATTCAGTGTTTTTCCGGTATTTGGATTCATTCTCATTTTCCTTTTGCAGTGGGATTAAGGGGCTGGTTATTTCTTCAGTGAGGAATCTCTTGTGGAGGTTTAGTTCAGCTCAGTTCGTTGATACAAGCATGTGCATAGGGAATCGACTATTAGTTTCGTGACTGCTTTCCCCAAATATTTATAATCCCTCTGGATGACTCATTTCATGCTCAAAGCTACATTAAAACACACATCATTATTCATCTCATTTGGGGTACGAATCTCCCTTCAGAAATATTCATTTGCAGAATTCACTGAACTAATATTTCCTCGTTTCAGTGTCTCATAATTGAAAATAAATCGATTTTCTCAGCATTTTCACTCTGTGATCCACTATCTGAAACAGAATCAATCCGCTGGTATCTACCTGATTCAAGTAAAATAAATAGGGGAGGGTGGGGCAAAACGGCCCCCCTTCAATTGTCAATAACTTGTGAATGACATTGTGAAAATTCCCAGTTTCAACTTCATTTTGAAGATAATTTTTCATTCTTCAAAACGAGCTCTAACTCATCCCAATCGGATTATCGAATCGGAAAATATTGACGATTGAAGGGGGGCCGTTTTGCCCCATGCTCCCCTACTAAAATCAAGTTCGAAATCACTTAAATCATTACTTTATTTGTTGTTTCTGTATTCCTTTACCTCATGCAAAATTCTGACTAATCTTTTCATCAATTTTGCTGTTTATCTCCATGCTCATTAATATTCAGTTGGGACCAAGCGACGTTTCGCTAAATATTTTAGCCCTTGAGTAATATTAATAAATAAAAAAAACACGAAATAAACGAATATCGCACAACAACAAAATATCACGCAGCAGCAGATTCAATTCTCTCACTCCGGTGACAACCCAACAGCTCAGCAGCCCGACGAAGCTAAAATATTTGGCGAAACGTCGCATCTACGCCAAATTAACGAATGTTATTATACTACTTCTCCAATTTTTCCCTTGATCCCAACTGAATAATTTTTTGATATTCGAACTTTCCCACAAAATTTATCAAGTATGACAATGACTTCTCCCACCAGAGACATAC